TTTCCATGTAAATTTGCACATAAGGGCAATTATGAAATGTAATTAAAATGAATGAAGAAATATAAAGGGCAGGCTAGAAGGGTCTAAAACAATAATTAGAGAATTATACTGAATAGAGGGATATTAAAAGGTTTAGAGCAATAATTAATGGATAGGATTTGAATTTCATACTATAATTAAAATGCAATTTGTTTTTTTAGTTTAAAATAGTTTATTGATATATGGGTTTACGAGCCTCGTGCGGATGACAGCCAAGCACCTCAGACATTCTCCCTATACTTCCTAAGCCGTTCCTCATGCCCCTAGGACAGCGTCTATATATAGTATGAAATATGAACGATTGTAACCGTATGTTATTTATTAAGTCCAAAACAAAATCACCTATGGCCAGATTGGTTGGCTACGTGTTCGGTGTGGGGGCCAGCCGGCTTGTGGCCCCCTTGTTCCTTAAGCTCTTTCTTCATCCATCACTTCATCAATTCTATATTTCAGGAATAAAATTAAAAAAATATCCTGTGAGAAAAAAATGAAAAAAGTATAATTAGAGTATAATTAGTTAGTGCATAGCTGTGTATATGACAGTATGTCTTTCTAATAAGAAGATAATAAGTACCGGCAGGAAGTGCAATCCAGGTAAGTGCACATGTAATACAAGCACAATTTATTATATGTTGGTTTTCTTGTGGTTTTGGTATGATTATCCTTTATTTATACTCTATTATACTATTAAATATTTAAATATTTTATATAGAAATAAAATGTGTTCACTTTTTCTATGAAAATATTTCATTGAATATGAGTTTATTACAAGAAGAAGAAAAATAATAAATAAAAGAATTTACTAAAATCATTTAAAACTTACATAGTGGCGTGGCCAATGGTAAATGGCTGATTAAAGACACACAACACTCTAAAAGGTTCCTACATGACGTGTATGAGTTGGCTATATTTTTGTAATTGAGATTTTTTTTATTGATTCTGTTTGTTTTCATTTATTCCTGAATATAGGACTCGGGTATAAATTTTTAAATAAATTAAAATTATTGAGAAATGTTCATTACAAAACATAGAAACAATTTATAAGAAGTCTCAAAATAATATAATTTTCTACCAACATGCGATAAAAATTAAGAATCACTGAATAATCAATTATACTTTCAAAGAAAACTTAAACAAGCCAGTTTTATTGAATTGTTATAGTATGATGTGTTTGGTTTAATTTCAAAAAGGAAGAATGTATCTGTAGTATAGTAGTATATTCTAGTATAAATATATTAAATTGGCTTTCTATTTATGAAACAGAAATAAAAGATCATTAACAAATTAACTAGAAACAGTATATTGGGACTATTGCTGTAGGATAGTAGTGATGTAGAGACACACACTAATAGGTATATTGTAGTATTATAAATAGGCTAATTAGGTAGCATATGTAATAAACAAGTAGTTATAGCTAATGTGTTTTCTTAGTATAATATTTCGGGTTTAGAGACGGATTTAAGTTTTTTTTGATAGTTTTTTAAGTTCTTGTAAACGTAATTCTCGTGTTATGGGATGGGTTTTAATTAAAGCATTTGAAATATCATAGTGAATTCCATATTTACAGCCGTTGTAGTTATTGTCTCTTATGGATATAATTCCTTCATCACTTTGTTTAATTTCTTGTAGTTTGCTATTTTGAATAGCACTTGAAATGTCTTTTAGAATGAATCTTGGATCATAGTCCTTTTTATAGAGTTTTCTCATTGAAATAGGATCGATTATTTCATCTTTTGTATTTTTATCCACTAAATACGCATTCATTCTTTCTAAAAGATCTTTCATAGTCAGACAAAAAACAGCACTGGTTTTATAGTCAACCTCTGCATGGGTTTTGTAGAAACAGTGCCCATATAATGCTGTATTAAGAGAAGGATTTTTGCGCTGTAGCATGTCAATGAAAGAAGCATGCGCTGGTTGATTAATAGCACCCACATGGCTTCTTTCGTCTTGTATTCTGCTGTCAAATTTATATGTTGTATACTCATAGACACTTTCATAGAATCTTGTATTCCAAGTTATATTTATATCACCAGTCGCATTATTAATTTCGGATTGAATATTCATGTAGTAGCAGTGGGGCTCCTCATAGAAGTCTGTTGAATTTCGTATAAAGAAGTCGCTATAATAGTGTTTAATAGCATAATTAAGATCACTTTCTTTCATATGTCTTTCAATTACTGACGATCTTGAATTATTTATTTGTATTCTGGAAGAACTTGAATTAGTCTTAAAAAATGGAGGAGTATAAATCTCTGTATAGTCAATTGGCACTAAATCTTTATATTTACCCAATTTAAATACGTTATAATTAATGCTATTCTTGTCATACGGCCCAAGCACTGCACCAGAGACCATAAACTTAGAAAGAAATAATGGAATTCTTATCTTATCCATATTACTGTCTTTAACATTACTTTTTACTTCTGATGAATACACAAACTGTGCAAAACAGAACTCGGTTTCATAGATATTTTCTTTTATGTAATAGAATACTACATTATAGTTTTCACTTTCTATTGTCTGTACTGTTTTGTTTAAATCGGAATCATCGGTTATTAACGACCAGGTTTTATCCTGCTTGCAGTACTTAAATGAATACACATCTCCAATCTTAAAATTCTTAATTTTTTCTTTTGTATTAAAGATCTTTTTAATATTATTTTTTCTTTTAATAGCCCCTGTTTTATATCGTGTTCTTATATTAAAAGCGCTTTTTAAATGAGTTATTATGTTTTTAATTGTATGAAACTGATAGTTTATAATTGTACCATTTTTTTGCCTATGTATGTAGTAGGGAAGATGAATCATTGTAGCTGTGTGCCACTCATTGTCTACAAATTGCACATGATAATGGTCTTTTATGCTTAGTAATGTGTTATTTTCAGCGAATATGTTAGTGTATTTTATCTTATCTATGCCAATAACATGAGTAAAGCCATTGTTTTCTATTTTACCTAGACTTTTTACCTTTGCAATAGATTTAAAAAGTTGTTGAGCCTTTAAACTATATTCCCCTAACATTTTACTGTGTGCTCGTGTTTTATTCATATTATCTATATGAATCAATCGCGTTCTATTTCTAATAGCGCCTTTTTTTTTCTGGTATAGTTTATATGCCATTCCATGATATTTATAAAAAATACCAACTTTATTACATACAAAATTATATACTTCTATTGCATTAGAATTGCCTATTAAATTCTCATTGCCCTCATGCAATTTAATTTGTTTAATTGCATTGTGTGCTTCTTCTGCCAATTCTTCATCTTTCTGTGCAGTGTGTATAAGATATGTTATAATCCACTTTAAATCCGGTAGCTGTTCAATTTTTAAATCATTTGCAGGGCCTATTATATTATTACTCTTATTTTTTTTATCCCTATTCATTATTTTTGCTTTAATTTCTTTAACAAAACTATTAACTGCACTCTGTGGCATTTTATAGAAGTCTTCATATACCTCTGGTATTAAAAGAATGGTATTCAACTTTTTTTTAAGTTGTATACCCCTCTCTGCTCCTTCTACAGCTATTTGACTATTTATACCACTGCAGCAGCAGTATAAATTTACTTCTTTATTTATCCAAATATCTCCAAGAGTTTCTGCTCTTTTATTAGCATGTAAAGAAGTAATAGTGTCATAATAATATATTGTTATTTGACTATGATTTTTAATATAATCAACTAGATCATTTAGAAATCCGACATACCATAATGGATTAAGCTGTCTGTAAACACTAATAGATTTTTCGTCTTTTATCTTTTGAAATATGATTTTTAGTAGAAGAAATCGCATGCCCGTACTTTTAATCATAGTCCAAATATCTGTTTCTTTATCACTTTCCCACTTTTTAATTATTATGTCTGCTCGTTTGATATTTTTTTCAGATCTTAAAGATCTACTTGAGCTTGAAACCAGTGCAGTTTCAAAACTTTCTATATAACTCGTATAGTTTCGTATAATAAATTGATTTTCAGCGGCACAAAAACACAATGTACTAGTTATAACCAACTTACTGTTAGAATCAACTTTAAGAGGATTAATAGTAGTGGATGTGGTTAGTTCTGAAGTTTCTTTTAATGGCATTTTTGAGGCTGGCTCTGATGTTAGATCCATTATTGGTTCTGTAGCTATGTCTATTGCTGAGTTATCTACATTGCTCTCTGCATTATTCATACCCATATAACGAGCTCTTTTGATAGCGTTAGAATTTTGAGTATTGTTGTCTGTATCATGGGGCCTTTTATTTGAATTAGATGGATTTAATGTCTGGCCATCTGTCTGCATAGGTTGGTTAGTATTGTCAGATGATACAGAACTACAATTGTTAAACATACCCCACATAAATCGTGTATCACTTGTGCTTAGATTATCTATTTTACTTAATTGTTTCTTATACGCTGCTTTAAACCCCCCGCAAGTTACAATTTCTATACTTATTATAAACATCAGTCCAAATATAATACATTTTTTTCTTAACTGCTTCATATTGTTCTTACATTTTAATAAATCGTAAATTCTTATATAGTTTGAAATATTTTATAGTTTAGAGATGCTCTAGAAAGAAATAATTAATCAGCTAAATATGAAATGATATTTCTGTTTATAATTTTCTAATGACATATATATTCTATATATTTTATTATGTTTAGCCAAGTCTATTTCGGGTTATATTTATAAAAATAGAATTCATTGGTCAGTTTTTTCTTTCTGTATAAAGAATATTGTTCAAGAAACTAATTTGCACATACCACATATTATAAATTTAGTATATGTGAAGTAGTCATGGTTTATTAAAAATAAAATATTAGTTGTGTCTTACAGTATGTGAATAATAAGTATTTTCTTTAATTTTAGTGTTATTTTTCTATAAATAAAAATAGAATTTATTTCAATTTCATTTTAATACTACTATTGTTATTATGTATTTGAACCATAAATTATTAAATATTTGACACTAATTCCTTCTTCTCTTACTCTTTAACCATAGATACTATAAGTAGTTTTATTTTACTTAACTTGATACAATCACTTCTTTAATATATAATATACATCATTTCTAACATGGGCCCTCTTTCTAAGTACTTTATTGTTCTTTACTTCTTTCTATATATTCTATTGCACTTCCTTCTAACTCTTTCTTTCTTTCTTTCTTTCTTTTTTTCTTATTTCTCTTCTTCCTTTATACTTTTATTTCTACTCCTACTATATTTAATACAATAATCCTATAATCCTACAACAATTGTATACCTAGTCAATTCACACTAATATAACACACCCACCGCTCTCTTCTATCACATACTAGAATTATAGCTACCCACACCATCCGAACTCATAGTTAATAATGGCATATTTGCACCCGCCCTCACAAGTTTGTATATTATACGCACACACCCTTACTAACTCCTCCCTCCGTGTATTCCTGCCTACCTCGCATACTATACATTCTTGGCCTTCTTTGAAGAGCCCCTTCGCAAAAATAACCTGACGAAAAACTCTGCTGCAGGGGTATGAAAAGTGAGGAAATTGGCCCCAAATTGGCCCAAATATTCGGGTTATGTCGGGTTGCAGGGGTATACTTACCTTAAAGGGAAAAGTTGCGTCCCAAAGAGGAAGTGGGAAATATGTGGGGTATAAATAGAGAAGGAATTTTAAATTTTATCCACAGGACGAGAGACTTCTCAGCCACAGACAAATACATTGTTCGGTCTGGAAACACTCAGCCCTGTGGGTCAGTCCGAAACAAAATCACCTGTGACCAGATTGGTTGGCTACGTGTTCGGTGTGGGGGCCAGCCGGCTTGTGGCCCCCTTGTTCCTTAAGTTCTTCCTTCATCCATCACTTCATCAATTCTATATTTCAGGACTAAAATTAAAAAAATATCCCGTCAGAAAAAAATGAAAAAAGTATAATTAGAGTATAATTAGTCAATGTATGGCTGTGCATAGTAGTAATAGGATGAGAAGATAATGTGTTTAATGACTTTTTATTAATATCTTTATATAACCCGAAATTTGCATATAGCAGAAAGAATGCTCTATAACAATTACTTTATTAAATGAAATTGCACTTACATAGTAGATTTGGCAATAGTCTAAATACATGCAAAGTAATTTTTTTTATAGCGCATATGCTAGTATGTTGAAAGATTGCTGTTAGGTTTTTCTTCTTTTTAAATGTGAGCTACTACGTGCAATAACTAAACTTTATCTTTATTAAGTTTTAGAAATTCTTATATAGTTTCTATCACCATTATTTATTATCCCGGCAAGCATGCCAATATCCCAAAGAATGTCCACACGCATATTACTATTACACCAATTGTTTTATTGCACTATAAGAGAAAATATCGGCTCTGCAGCGGGCATAGTTCCCGAATACCTACGAAAAACCAATTATTATCAATATTATTTATAAAAGAGTAACTGCTGTAAAAATGTAGTAAATTGGCTTTATTGAATATAAATAGGGCTAGTGTCCAATATTTCGTTGTATTTGTATTTTATATAGTGGCACCCGATCATTAATTGCTTGGATTGTTCCATAGTCATCCAATGGAAGGCTAGCAAGAATATTCAATAGGAAATAAAATGAATTAAAGTACTCATCTGTAGATTTTTTAAATCGCGAAATAATAAATGCTTTCCTTGCTAAATTCATTTTAACAGAGAATGAAGTAATCCGCATGAACAAAAAAACTTTATCCAAATTGGATAGATTGCTATTTAGTAACTTCTCTCTTTCAAGCTCTATCTTATTGCTTAGATCCGTGCTTTTTATCATATTAAATGTTTCTATAGCAATTGTATGCATTATTAAAGATTTAATAAAGCTATACTGCTCTCCAAATGTGGTTTTTGTTCTAGAAATAACATCACAGAATTTATTCTTGAAACATGAGCTTTCTTCTGGAACAAATGAAATAATCATATGCCCTTTAACTGCTTGCACCTTTATACTGTTTTTTACGCCATTTACAGTATACGTGATGACAATTGATCCTAATACTTCATTCTTACAATCCGATCTATGCCCTTTTGTAAAGTTGCAGTTTACAGTTACAGATTTGTTATAAGAAAGGTCGCTGAAAAGCTTTTGTATATATTTTTGAATATCACTAAAAAGCTTATTAAGATTTGTAGCTTCATTATTTAGTCGCGCCATAAACTCGCTTATCCTGTCTATATCAGAAGAAGGTCTTCCAGAAATCTCTACAATGGCATAAAGCAGATTTAAAATGCCTGCTCGTATTTCATTTCTTTGGTCTTTAACATATGCAATGTGCTTACAGCTAAGTCCTGACGGCACTACATTCCAATTAGCCTGCATTTTGGCATCAATTATTTCAACCGGTAAACTATATGTTGTAAAAAACTCCTGCATTTCAGGCTTTGATTCCTTCATGTGCTCAAGAGTATATTTTCGGGTTTTTGAGTTATATGCAAAAGAGCTGAAAATTCCCAGAATAGCTGCCTCTACGCAATTACTGTACCGCTTATTAGGATCATCCAAAAGCTTCTTTTCTATATAATCATAGTGTGGTACTTTTGTGTAAGCAGGTATTTGATCACTAGACATAAATGGAAACATTTTACACTCGTCTATAAAATATGCAAAGTTTTGATAGATGTCTAAATACATCATAACCTCATTAGAGCTGTTTGCTTCTATAAAGCATTTGCCAAATACGTCATTTTCAATGGTGCAATCCTGGTTTAACAAGGTTTTATCTGCAATTTGTTTACTAAGGATTTCATACACTGCATTATTTAGCTTAATTGCATCTTCTTTCGACTGAATAAATTCATATATATACATCTGTATTAAAAACTTAGGGCTATTTAAGAACAGTCCAGTTTCAAATTCTTCCTGATTCTCTGGGGTTTTAAACTCGCCATTATCCCACAAAAGCGGATTATTTCGATTTTTAATAAAAAACTTAATTATTTTTGCAATATCCTTAATGTTTGTGTTACTGGTTGAATTACTTATTTGATTTTTCATTTGAATAGAAAAATAGCTCTTTTTGCTCTCTTTGTTTTCAATTAAACCCAATTCTGAAGTAGCCTTTTTATAATAGATAGGAACATCCACTCCTTCTGAAAGAAGCAAAAGAGCAGCTAAGATGTAGTAAGTGCAGGTATTAACTTTTTGTGATTTAAGAAATTCTGCAAACCCATTTGTATTATTAGATTCTATAGGTGAATCTTTTTGCATATATGGAAACATTCTTAGCAGAGTATTGTAGAATTTCTTCATGTAAATTCTCTTTTTTATCGATGCAATAAACTCCAAATTGTGAATCTTGTCCTTAGAAGGGCTCCGAATAAAATCACTAATTTTCAATTCATCATTAGAGCTCTTCATTGTAAGCGTGTAGAAAATGTCTATTTCAGAGGCAAATTGCCTTTTATTCTGCAGAAGAAGATTGCGATTGTATAAATATCCACGAAGCATGTTTAGCGGGCCATCAGGATTTATCACCAAGCACTTTGAATTATTATGTGTTAGTATCTGCTTTTGAACCTCTCTTATTTCGGGTATCTCTATCTTTCCATAGATAATTTGTATTAGCATCAATCCGATCACATAGTATAAAATCATACCCCTTATAAATTTTTTTAAGTTTATATATTAATTAGAAATTATTTAAATCCTAAACCAGCTAGAATAGTCTATTACTGTAAGCACACACATTAAACATTAGTTTGTAAATGATTTTTAGAAATAAAAGAGTCTATGTTGCCAAATTGTAACAGTATTCTTGCTATTCACCGTATGAGGAAGTCTTCGTGAGTTTTCTCCTTATTATTTTCATCATATGCCAATATGTAATTGTTAATGATGCCGTATAATAAATATTCCAAAAAAAGAAATATGCATTCTTTTATAAATAAAAATAGGAAATCCACTATTTGCTTGTTATAATTTTTTTTAATAGAAATCAGTCTTGTTATAATATGCTGTTGGCTGTAATTAAAGCGCTTTCTTTAAATTTTAGAATTAATTTTGTGAATATTAAACTCTACTTCAAATTAACCATTAGTTGAGTTAAACTTCTAGCCAATACGCATGTATATATTTCTATAACTCAAAGTAAGAAGATCAAATAAATAGATCAATTACTGTAAAATACAATGTATATAAAAATAACAAATGCTTTGGTGGTGCGCCGGGTATATGCGCCAATTTTATATGTAGAATGTTTGATTAATATAAGCTGGTGTAAGTTGTTGATGTATTAACAGAAATAATTTTTATTTATTTTAAAGCATTATATGGAAAGTCTTCACTACAATAAGACTATTAAAATATTTTAAAAAGACATTTATTTATAAAAAGTCTGAAATTATTAAAAAGCAAATTTAGTAAATAATAGAAAACAATATTCTTTCTTGATTATTATGCAAACAAATGAATTTCTAAGTATTTTAATTTATATTTTCTTGAGTATTAGCAGTACATTAATTGGCGAATAAATAACTGCTGATATTATAATAGAAATCAATTTAACAAAATGAATTTAATGTGCTCACGAGGAGGCACCGTCGTCGCCTGGATAACATAGTCCAAGATAGATAGAGATAGTATTGAGGGATGCTCTTTATTATGATTATTAGAATATCCGGATGTGCGCGGGCGTGGGGCCCTTGTGGTGCTATTGGCGCTGAGCCTTTTAGTAAATGTTTCCCGTGGTTTTCCCATTGGTTCTCGTATGATTTGTTTGGGCGCGTGCTACTTATATAGTTCAAAGTTGATCCGTGATTATTAGATCCCGGCCTTTTGCCGAAAAAGAATCATCGCATGCATAGGCGCATTGGAGGATCGGTCTCGGGCCTGCGCGCTTGAGCGGAGGTGTCACCACAAAATTTAATAATAGCTAGAGTTGTACGTGCAGTTAATCATTAACAGAGGACTATTCTATTTTTATTATTTTAGAGTATGGTGTAAACATTTCTGGTTGAAAAAACAGTCTGCTAGCTACTTAAATAAATGTTATCGCTTTAGTGAGAAATAAAATATAAAAAGAAAGAAATACCCAATTTTAGCCAAGAATTATCATAATTCAAAACAAAAGCTGAATAAAATTCCAAAATAACTGTTCTGATTTGAAAACATTCTCGGGCTACTTCGTTTTATTATATATTTTTGTTTTTGATATATTACATAAAAATATCATTCAGCTTTTCTGATATAGTCAGAATAAGATTAAAAATAATATAAATACAACTATAAATACAGAAAAATAAAATATGAAGAGGACAGCACGAAAAACAATTATTCTAGTAATATTTTGCTTGAAATTCATCATTATACCAGTATCTGCCAGTATGCTTGCCCCACATAACAATACACGCAGTATATACGAGGTAAGCAGCCGGATAAGAGGCAGTAGAAACAATCCTTTATTGCATGAAAATAATCAAATTGACCAAGCAGAAGAGAACATAAGACACAAAATAAATGAATTGAGACGCGGAGAAGAGAAGTACAACCAAACTAAAGTGGATATAGCCAAAGAAGCTCTAAGTATGCTTAAAAAGTGTGAAAGAATTCTTCCCACAGACCTAAACCGGCTATATATTTGGAGTGAAGGATACGATAGACACCATAACCAGATGTCGGGGCAAGATATAGAGAAGCAAATAGTAGAATGGCAGCAGATTATACCAAGCACCTATAACAGCATATACACAGCTATTGAAGATGAACAATTTACAAAAAATCTACTAATTTCACCAGATGGTGCTAATACTATAAAATATAAATTGAATGATCTTCCTATACTTACTCCTAGAATTGAAAAATATTACAGTAAAATTTCAGCAGACTTAAAAAACATAATTCTACTTTCTAAAAAAGCAGAGAGTAAATATGACAGAAAAGAGTATTTTGTAGAAGATAACTTGGATAGAAAGGCCCTAGCCAACTGTTTTGTGAGTCTAGTCTACCCGCCTTATATTTTTACTACATTCAGTATGTATGATATACTTCTAAAGCATGGCTTCCCTAATACATATGTAGAAAGAGGGCTATTAGATAATTCTGGAGAGCAAGTGGGGCATTTTATAAACAATATTGATAAATTGAAATTAAAGCTGATTAATTTCTTTGGATTTATCACCACACAAATATCCAAATCCAATGAATCAAATAAAAAGTTTGTAGAATATGCCAAAAAGTTACACAAACAGGGCGTGAACATATATAAAACAGTAGAAAAATCAGTGGATCCCTATGGAAACATTGAAAAAAAGCGGCAACAGTACTTACACGCATGGAGACTTATAAATAATTCGTTTAGTCTGCAAGTCCCAATAATAATTGAACTATTAAAGAACATTTTACATGCAAGTGAGTGTAATCTAAAGGAATTAAAATACAAAATGAATGTACACACAGATGGTTATATATTGAATAGAAAGGACCATTTAGAAAAATTAAATAAGTTGGCTATTTTAGTAAAGGGGGTTTTAAGCCCTCAGAATGGCGATGATTTTAATGAGAGTATGATCATGACAGTCAACTCTGCCAATTACTATTTAACAGAGCGAATAATAGATATTAATTGGCAAATTGTCAGCGGATTACATTTCATTCAAATACGAAATAATAATAAAAATATAGGCTTTGTAGAGCTCAAAAAGCAGCTAACAGAAGACATAGGATGTATTTGGAAAATAAGCACAATTGTGCAAAAATATATAAATTCGCCAGAATTTCAGCCTCACATAACTATAAGCAAATATGCAAAGCAGGTAACTAACAACTTAATTGAGGTGGATACAAAATTCAATAACTCCAACTCGATATTTAGCTCAATAATCAGCGGAAGATTCGCGGTTTTGCTTACATTATGCGTTAGTGCACTACAAAAAGCTCTTTTGTTTGGAAGCTATTAATAAATTAAAGGTTTATTATATTATTGATGAGATTTATTGTTTCTTAAATCGGTTGGTCTCTTTATTATAATCTGCAAATTATATTAACAGAATATAGAGTGGCTTTCTTCAATAGCAATTTATTTAATTTAGTTAAACCAGAAGGTTAATAAAACAAGTACAAAGTTCCTAAGCGTAAAAGAAAGATGATTTATCAAATTAAGAGAGTATGAATGGAGAATATGACTCAAGAATGTTAGATGCCATTTAGTGCGTTTAGTTCACATTATATAAAAATACACTTTATTTGACTTAATACACCCCAACAACGCATATATACAACATTCCTAGTTATATAACAATAGATGAGCTAGTTTGTAGTAGATAAATTAATTAACCATATTATAATCTAATACCTGTAGACTTTTTGTCTTTTCTAGCACCTTTAAAAACAAATAAGATATATTCATGTATATTTTATGCAGTATTCTCTTTATAAATGAAGACACCTGATCGCTCAAGATTATTTGCGATATAATGCACCAAACTATGAATATGGTAATTGCTAATAATATAAAAATTATTAATAGGCCCAGTAAGAATTCCTTTAGTGTACCTTGGTAAGCAGGAGAATCATCAGGAGAAATTGTAAGCCTGTTTATAGCATCGACTAGTTTTAACTCATCTTGATTAAGCCCATTATCTATTGATATGGGAATAGGCGAGCTAAAAATAGCACCTATTTTTTCCTGCATACATGCTCTATATACATCAGAAACATTTTCGATAAAAGAATCTGTGTCAATAGGATACCTTTCGCGCAATGGCTTAAGATTGTCTATGAATTTAATAGATCCAGGGTTTTTGTAGCTCTGAAGATCCTTCAAAACATATTTAAACACGTTCTTTGTATATATAGCAGTGTCTGATAAATTATGTGTTTTCTCTATCATGAAGAATAGTGCGCTGTATATGTTCTGTATAATCGGAAAACCGTTTTTTTGCTGTCTTTTAGCAGAAATTACCTCTTTTATTAACTGCACTGCCACATTAACTCCAATGTGATTTGTGCATACAAATATATACAGCGAGTAAACATCATCATTGTCTAGCCCCAATCTATATAAACTCAACTCAGCACCTTCCTCTCCATCTTGCCCAGCAAGCATTCCTCCAAATTCTGTTATTATATCTAATACCCTCTGTAACCTAGAACACTTTCCAGAGCTAGACGGCTTAAAAAGATAATTTAATGCGTCAAAAGCATCAATCGGCCCCAGTGTTTGTGCATACACATTATTGGACAGGGCGACCATGATATCAGTTCGCATATACCAGTCAAGTAGATTTTTATCCAATATAAATAGATGATTGGTATTCATAAAATTATAATATGCATCTCTCTGCACATGGTTCTTGATATCTTGTCCAGTAGCATAAATGCCCCCCACAAACATTCTAGTCTTTTCTATCGCTTTATCAATTGTGGGTATAACCATATCCTGGTTATATTCTATAGTTTTTTCAATATACTCGCATAGAAATACCATAAATGCATTGTATGCTAAATTATTTAATTCTAGGAACTCCTCTTTAAAAAGAACTCTTCTTGCATACATATTTAGCACTGTGTATATTATGTGCCTTTTTTCATAGAATGATGTCTCTGAATCCTTATCGTTAGCAAAGAAAATGTTTTCTGAATTTGATCTCAGCATTTCATTATTGAAATCCATCTAAAAATTTTCAATAGTGAAACAGGTTTATAAATTGAAATTTAAATATGCTTTAACTTGGTTTTTATATTATTTATTTCTAGCCAGTGAAAATACTATGCTTTTATACTAGCTCAGGCAAATAAATTGTATACTAGTACTATGTTTAGTGAAATAAATATAATAGAATTAATATAATATACGGCGGTCAATACTTTGTCTGTGCATGATCCCAAGAAGTCAAGCACCAAATATCTTTGGGCATTCGCAAATTTATGCAACTTCATAGTGAACATACTTATTATAAGATGTAGAGTATAGAAGAATATAAAAAGGGAAATTATTTCGCGAATAGCCACTAAGCCGGCAATATCCCCAACTATGAATCCCAACATATATGCTATAAACACTATAAGACAGATGAGCATACCAAATAGCAAGTTAAACTGAATAGCTTCTACATTTGTAGCTATACTTAATATTAGTATAATGTGTTTAAAAAACACGAATCCGAATATAACAATATTTGCCACACCATATATCTCTAGTATATACTTACTTGGTAGGAAGAGCATGTTAATAGGAGCTCTATCTAGCAATGGCGCAGTGTTATTTGTTTTTACTCCTCTTACTAAAATCATTAATAACAGTCCGATGTGAAATACTGATAGTAATGGTATAGAAGATACAACTGCATTGGTATAAACACTAGGCTTTATAAAATTAACATCAATATTTTATGTCTTTTCTACACTATCGTTGTTTTCAGAAGCAACTTCTATATCAATTTCAATAGCAGGCTTTTTAATCACTAGAGTACTAATCTGCTCAGCAGAGCTAGATTAAGTGTTTATGGGTGTGGTGAATATTTCATTGAGTTCAAGAAATTCAGTATTTTGGTTGTCTTTTATTATTGCATCTTCTTTATGAACCATGCCATCTTCAGGAATTACTCTATTGTTCATTATAATAATTTTTATTTTTTTAGTATGCCAATAAAATTGCTTTTATTTACTTTCTGGTTATCTGAAAATAATGAAATATAATGTGTAATAAAAAATATAACAATCTCATTATATGCAACATTTTCTTTAAGAATGGCTTTATTTTCTATATTTTAAATTCGGGTTAATTATTTTTTATTAATTTATTTTAAATTCGTTCATATTCCTATTTCAAGTTTATTTCTGAGTATGGATTTTAATTTATTTTTAATTTGAATTACTTATGCACAATATGAAATATTATAGGAGTATTTTATTTCAAGCATGTAGATTTAATTATTATATTGCGTATAGGACTAGTGGATTTTTGGCCTCTAGAGTACTAAATAAGAACATAAACAGGCCAGGAAATGCGCACTTTGGCCTATACAAATTGTGGACAAGAGCAACATAATTTTTGTAGAATTTAAGATTATATAGCAATTGTGGCTTCTAAAAGGTAATTCAAAGCAACAAAAATAAGTGAAGCAAAATATACCAATTATACAAATAAACCAACCAGTGAATTTATATACACGAACAGGCAAATAGAAAAATTAACAATGAACCAATTAGATACTAAACAAAACTGTCTTAAAAATATAAATATAGAAAGATTTTCATATTTGTATGTGTGGAATATTTGGCTATTGTAGCTACAATAAGAAGGCAAATAAAAAAGAAGTTTTGACAATGTTAACCAATGGGCTGAAAAGACTAGAATACAGAGGATATGACTCAGCTGGAGTTGCTATTGATGTTGATAGTGAGTATCAAGCATTTAAAAAAACAGGAAAGGTGCAGGCACTAGTAGATCATATTGAGGCCTCCACAGGAAACATACAGGAAAAACGCGCCAATTCTAACATAGGGATAGCACACACAAGATGGGCCACACATGGAGAGCCATCTGAGAAGAACTGCCATCCAATTCCAAGTCAGAGCAACGAATTCTTTGTAGTACACAATGGAATCATTAACAATTACAAAAGTCTAAAGGAGACCCTTACAGGGCACGGACACACTTTCCAGAGTGAAACAGACACTGAAAGCATTTCCCAGGTTATTTTGTTCATATACAGAAAGTGTGTGGCCCGAGGGATTACTTTGAGCTTCTCAGAGCTAGTGAATGAGGCTGTTCATCAGCTGGATGGAGCTTTTGCATTTCTTGTTGTAAGTAAACATTTCCCAAATGAAGTAGTAGCTGCAAGAAGGGGAAGTCCTTTACTGATTGGTGTGCGTGGAACATCAATTGTTCAGCAAGACTCAATTGATGTGATAGCCTCTAAAGAGCCCACTATTTCAATTAGTACGCCAGTAGGTACCCCAAGAATAGTATCAAAGCCAGGAGAGCTGTCTAGATCTGTCAGCAGAGTGTTTGTCATGGAGTCTGATAGCAATACACAGCCATTAGAAATATTCTTTAGTTCTGACTCTGCAGCAATTATTGAGCACACAAAAACACTGCTTACCTTGGAAAATGGAGATATTGCACATGTTACAGCAAAAGGTCTAGAGATTATTAAGAGTACGCCGGGAGGAAAATCATTCCGGCCACTTGAGGAGGTCACTGGAACTCTGTGTGATATTATGAAGGGAAACTACCCACACTTTATGCTTAAAGAGATACACGAGCAGAAAGACTCAGTTGTAAACACAATGAGAGGCCGTGTGAACTTTGAAGAGTCAGTTGTAAAGCTGGGAGGGATTGGAGAGTGGCTAGATACACTTAGAAAGTCCTCTCGATTTATTTTCATAGCATGTGGTACTAGCTCTTATGCATCTTTGCAGATGAGAGGGCTTTTTGAAGAACTTACAGGCATTCCTTCCACAATTGAAATAGCAAGTGATTTTAACGATAGGTCGCCGCCCATATCAAGGTCGGACTGCTGTATATTTGTAAGTCAGAGTGGAGAAACTGCAGACTCTTTGATAGCCCTCCGGTATATTAAAGAAAGAGGGGCGTTTAGTGTGGGAATCACAAATGTAGTAGGAAGTACAATTTCCAGAGAGACAGATTGTGGTATTCACATAAACGCAGGGCCGGAGATAGGTGTAGCAAGTACTAAGGCATACACCAGTCAGTCAGTTGCACTTGCTCTTCTTGCCATACAGATAGGCCAAAACAATTCACACACATTTGAAAGAAGAAAAGAAATAATAAAAGATCTACAAGGCCTTTCTGCCTCAATCCAGGAAGTTCTTAAGGACGAGCAGGGATTGAAGCAAATTTCTGAAACCATGCTTAAAACTGAAAGCAGTATTTTACTTCTAGGAAGAGGGTACCAGCTGGCCACTAGCTTGGAGGGTGCATTAAAAATCAAAGAAATAACCTATATTCACAGTGAAGGAATAGGTGCGGGAGAGCTAAAGCACGGGCCACTTGCATTAGTTGATGAAAAGAAGAGAATTATTATGATTTTAACTGACCCATCAGAAGGAAAGTCTCAGAATTCATACGAACAGGTCATATCTCGAGGAGGTAACCCAATCGTTATTTGTACAGAGCGCACAGCTAAGCAACTCGGCAATTCACTAAAAATTATAGTCCCAGAAGTATCTGACTGCATTCAAGGAATTGTAAATGTGGTTGTTCTTCAAATACTTGCCTATTACACAGCAACCAGTTTAAAAATTGACGTGGACCAGCCAAGAAACTTGGCTAAGTCCGTGACTGTTGAATAAAGTGATAAACTTTAAAGTTATAGAATTACTATTAGTAGTATATACTGTTTAGCATATATATTTTCACTTTGAATATTATTTAGTAGTCTATATAGAAAATAGACAAATTTTATTTTAATATATTCAAGTTACATGTACTTAAATATTCTATGAGCAGTAAGAAATGGAAATAAATTAGCATCCACTAAATTATAAATACATAAATAAAGGTAAAATAAAACCAATGTATTATTTGGATAGAATAGTGCAGTAATATTTAACGGCTTGACAATGAATTTTTATGGATTAAGCATGGCACGTGCAACACTAATATCAATTCCAGTATAAAATTAGCATATTTATAAAACAGCAACTAGCGGCATTTGAACTATATAAGTAGAGTATATAGCACATAAATGGGATGTAGTAGATAGTAGAAATATTATGTTAAAAACAAACCCGAGGAGATTAAAGATGGCAGATATAAAGTTTAGATAGCATATAGAAGATTTACATGCCTTTAATTATCTAGACATATGGCATTTACTAGATATTCCAAAATATGTTTTTAATGGCTGTTTATGCTTTATTTAATTCTCTAGATAATTCCTCTGTAAAGTTTAGCGGTTTCGGGTTATAGCCATTAAGAACAATATAATTCTAAAAAGAGTATAGTGTGAGCATCGCATAAATAGCACAAAAACACATATAGAACACACAAACTTTATTTTGATAGTTATCTTACAGATAAGTATGTTTTATGGTGAAGATTGATTTGTTGTAACGCTTGTCACGAGATAGAACATTCAAAAAGTCTTCCTTAATAATGATTCTGGCATTACTTGTCTTTTGCGCTCTTTCATCTGACCCTTGAAATAGTGTTAAATATGGAGTTGACCCGTCATCTGCGCTTTGTGTACCTGCTGACATCCAGCTTTTTGGCTGACTGCCAAGTGCCGCAAGTGCTACATTATTGCTAAGCCTTTTTTTAATGATCAAGTCTTCTCTATCCTGTAGGGCTTTTCTCCACTTCTTCTTCCCTTCTGCTTCATCTCCCTCTTTTTTCTGGCGATACTTATCCATTTCCAGCTTTTCCTCCTGCTCTAAAAACCACATCTGCCGCCTTCTATCATTTTCTATTCGAATTAAATAGTCATTTCGGGAGACATCCATGCGGACTTTGCTCTGCTGTATCATTTTTTCAAGAAGGTCGAGTATCTTTCTCTTTGCTGCCTGAAAGAGAATGTTTGAAGCATCATCGCTCACCCCAATTTCTCGAAGCTTGCTTATCTTCTCTAAGAAATAACTGTATATTCTCATATCAAAAAGAGACTCCATTGCATTCTTGTAGTCATACACCTTTCCTTTCATGTCATCAAAGGGAAGACTTTCCTCTGCTTCATTTGCAATGTTAAGTGCCTCTTCCTTTAGGTTTACTCCAGCATAATGAATTATATCGCTCATGTATTCTGGCTTCTGGTCATCCTTGCTAGAAGGCCTTCCTCTTCTAACCTCTTGTGGCGCTGTGTCTTCTTCCTTCTCTTCATTATGCTCCATTATTACATCCGTGCAGCATTTTTTATATTCGGATGCATTTATCTCACCCTTTTTATACTTTTCTGCTAGGGAAGCCAGCTCCTTTTTAGCCTCTGATGGCAGTGAGTCAATGGTGTCTTTATTGAACATTTAATTAGAGTAAAAAAAATTTACAACTGTTGGTGCTTTATCTCTCCAGAAACAAAAATTACCTGCTGTCCATTAAAAGAATGATATTTTCCATACCGACTCAATTAGGGCCTTCTGTTCGTCAGATGCCTCGTCAATTCTTTTCCTGTGCCACTTAACTGAAGCACCTGGCCGGAACTGCCGTAGCATAAGAGCACTTGCAAGCTGTGCCTCCAGCGAGTGCATTGAAGGGGTGATTTCCTCGCCAGTTCCCACTCCTGCCACCTTATCCAAAATCTGGATAACATACTCCAGGCTTTTGTGCGGAGAAAGAGACTTATTCCACTCTGCGTATATTGCAGATAAAACAAGAACAGCAAATGCACTTTCTGACTTCTTCAGCTCAGGGTATAGAATGTCCCGTATAAACTCATTGTATGTCCAGCACCAGTCAAGAACTTTCGAATAGAGGCGGATAGATGTGACGGCATCAAAGACTTCTGGAACAATTCTTTCCTCTATAAACACAGTTCTTGTTGCATATTTCTCTAGAATTGAAATGCATCGGCTCTTCAGCCCATCTATTGCTTCTTCTGCAATGCTGTAGTAGTAGATGGTTTCAAGCACATCACTTATCTCGCTTCCATCCTTCTCAATCGCATCAGAATATAGAATGCTGTAAACCGTAGAATACTTGTCTAGATCCCGAGAAAAAAGAACTATATCGTGCAGAATTAAGTACTTTAACGAGTTGTCTAGATATGGCAATATCTTTAAAAATATTCTTCTTATCTCAGGCTGCTCCATTATATTGAACGTGTCGAATATTTCCTTAAGCGCTTCAACCATATTGGTTTTTGCTTTTTCTTCAATGTCTAGCAATTTTACTTCATTGTTGCACTCATCTAGCTTTCGCTTTCTTTTTTCTTTTGTTTTATTGCGTATCTCTCCCTCCTCAATGCTTTCCTGAAGAATTTCCGTCATGTCACCGACTTTTGTTTCAAGCTTCTTTATTTTATGGTTCAGAAGGGCTACAGTGCTTTTGTATGCTTGAATTCTTTGCTTTATTTTTCTTATAGAAGGCATCAAGACTGAAAAAAATTTACGATGAAATATAGCACAGAATCTGCCCAGAAGGCTCAAAAGAAGAAGTTTACAGGAGGGAAGTCCTCCGAAGAGGATAAGAAAAGAAGAAAAGAAAGCGAGTCAGTTGTAAAGGAAATAGAAGAAACCGCGGTTCAAATAACTCCCGAGGATTTGCTGCCACAGCAAGATGCGCCTCTTGGGGATGCATCAAGCAGAGTTGCCATAATGAATGTGGACTGGGACTCAATCGGTGTCCACGAGGTATATAAGGTGGTTAATGCATTTGTGCCAAAAGGTCAAATAAAGAAAATTGCACTCTACAAGACAAAGCTGGGGTGTAGAGAAATGGCAGTTGAGGGGCATGACGAGCAGGCGATTATGAACTTAGATATGAATGAGGAGACCAAAGAGATGGAAATAAGAGAATATTTAAAAAAGAAAATGAAGTACTTCTATGCTGTTGTGGAGGTAGAAAACTCTGATGTAGGAAAAGAGCTGTATATGGCAATTGATGGGCAAGAGATAGAAAACACTTATAATTTCATTGATGCCCGTTTTATTCCAGATGATTATGTTATAGACGATAAGCTAGTTGAGGAAATAACAAGTTCAACAGAAAAAATTGCAAGAATACCGATTAATCCTCTTTATAGCACTAAGCCACAGCTGCGGTGGGACGAAGACCCGGTGCGCGACCGATACTTGAAAGACTTATTCGTAAATGATATTGATCTTGACGTAGCAGACAACTTAATAGATGCATCAGATGATGAGGAGAAGCAGAGCTACTATAAGAAGGCCATGCAAATACAACTGCCCAGCAAAGAAGAGAAGTCTACAGAAGAGCAGATAGAAGAGCCCAAGAAGACTAAAAAGAGTGTTGTATCTGTTGAAAACGATGATATTTTAATTGAAAGCAGCACTGAAGAAGAGGCAGAAGAAAGCAGTGAAGCTGTTTTACTGGGAGAAGACACCCGATTTGCAAAGGAAAACAACGCAGACTTTAATATAGATGTAACACATCCAGCATACATAGCCAAGCAAAAAAAGAGAAAAGACAAGAAATAGTCAATATATAGAGCATAGAAACACCATGAAGTATATTTATCTATTATAGAAATAATTCACAGCGAATAAGAAATAAACAGAACATTATGCATATACAACTGTACAAAGTTATCATAATCTATTATTATTATTAACTCCACAAACAGAGAAATACTTGCCTATATATGCTGAAATGGATGCATATAATCTACTGTAAAGCGCATACTAATTTGTAAATATGCCCAAATACAGCGCTATAAATATTGTTTTATATAGAAGTTCATGCAACTAGAGAGTATTATTCAATTTCTTAAAGAAGCTTCAATTTTACTAAATTTCCAGAATTCATACTATGGTACATGAATATCCAGTGTTTCAATCCAATAATATTCTATTTCTTGCATATTACTATGAAATATACAATATTTTACCACTGCCCAACATAACTGAAAAGTTCAAATTATTTTAATTTTTATAGCCCCAGACATGACAGCCAATAAAGGAGCACTTTTAAAAAGAAGACTAATCAGAGCAAACAGAGTAAACAAGCAGGTACCAGCATGGAAGAGACTTATCCCAGGAAACAAACAGCATTACAACACTAAAAGAAGACACTTTTTACGTACTAAATTAAAATACCATGAATAAATAGTATGATGTAGTACAATAATGCCTACTGCATGCATTGATGGGATATAATGAATTCTTTAAATAAATGGATAGCAATACATTATACAGTATTTAAATAGAGCAAAACCATTAATCATATAAATGTTCATTGAGAAATAGTTTCATTTGGAAATCATAGCCATATATGGCCAAGAATAAAATTAACAAAATATTCTAAGCTTATTATAAAGTATTCTCGGTGGGGTGAAGCAGTTAATTATGCAAAAAATAGTTTGAAATATTTTAGAATAGTTTCTTAGTTGCTTTACTGTTATATACACCTAGTCTAACTGAATTTCAGCAGAGTTTTGGAATCTGAAGAGGCATGCAGCCTATCTCAAGCAATGCGCTGTTAATTTACTTTAATGTATATTATTAGACGCTCTTTATTCAAATATAGATGTAAGCTGCACCAAACTACACATTTGTGTGCTTGTATGCACTATATTGTTATTTATTTGCCTGCACTGATTTGTATCCATGCGCTAACAACCATTCTGTAAATCCTGTGCTGCTAAAAAATTCTCTAAATACTCGTCTTGCTTTTATGCTTGCGCCTAGGTCAGAGAGGCGTTGTAACCACTTTTCTGTCTGGAATCCTTCTGGGCACTCTAAAAAGTACTCTTCTAATTCCTTAAACAGTTTTTCTAAGTTATCGTTGCATTTTTTCTCTTTATAATAATATCGGCCATTAATGGCATCTATTGCATTGTCAAACTGGTTGGACTTGTAATGGTACTCGTTAGTCACTCCAACAATAGAGTGATTAGGTATTTTATTTTGGACAAAGGATGACCGGTATGGAAGTATGTCACCGCCATATTTAACTCCTCCAAACATAGAGAGGTAGCAGACAATTACTGATGATTCGGTGGGGGTTCTAGCGATAACTAAAAACCCTTTTGATCGCATGAGGTTTTCTATAATTGTATTTTTGTTCTGATTGAATAGCTTTTGTATTTCGGGCGAAATGCGATTATGAAGTAGCCGAATGGTTTCTGTTTGAGTGGGAAGTTCTGTATTCCAAAGAAGATTCAAAACTTTTTCTGGCATGTATTCACTTGCTCTAGTGAGCGCATCAGACAGAATGAGTGGTAGGGCAGGTGTGTACTTACTGCACTGGACTACAATACTCTTTTGAGTGCACCCTCTTGATTTGCTTTTGTCTGCTTCTTGTATGAAAAAGACGTGGTATGCTTTATTTGAGAGATAAAATATGAAGGACTCTTTGCCCATTTCCATTGACCGAATATCCGGAAAAGATGAAAAAGCAAAAGCACTTTCTTCTTCCTCTGTCATTTCTTCATCTTTATTAGGAACGGAAGGACCCGAGGTTAGATCAAAATCAACTTCTATTATAGACTCTACAACAACAGCCGGCTTTTCTTTCTTTACAATATAAGTAGGAATAACTTTACACATGTCTCTATTCTCTAAATACCACACAGAATGGCCCATAACAAACAAAAGAAAATAATAGTCTTTATTTTTCAGATTCTGGTGCAATTGGTGTAAACTCCTTTGCTCCTGCTGCCGGCATACTCTCAGATAATATTCTGGCGTATGCATCACGCCCGCCGATTAGCGCCCATTCATTTTTGTGTGGGCATGGAAGGGAAATAGACTGCATTTCAATTGACAAAGGAGTGCATATGTAAGCCTTCTCTTGAGAAATCTCTTCAGAAAATGCTTCATTAAATCGCCGTATCCCATCTTTTACCTCAAATAGCACCCATTCAAGCCTTTCTCTTATAACACGGCTGGTTTCAATAGAAGAAAAAGAGAGAGCATCAAGAGAAAGTTTGCTCTTTGGAGAAATCTTCTCTTCGATCTGCACACTAATCATCTTAAGCAGTTCAACTGCGCCAAGGAAAGTTACACATCCAGACATTCCTATTATTTGATCAAATATTTTATCAAAGAAAAGCTGCAGCTCATTATTCTCTTCTTTCCCCTCTGAAACATTCCATCCAGAAAGAGTTTCCCTAACAGAAAGGCAGTCAGAAACCCCCACCACAGGAATGCTAGTAAAGAAGCCAGGAAGAGATATTACCGTGGGCGTGTATGGCTGCTTAATTCTATTCAGTATGTCATACTGTATAATATATGCCATGGCGGTTCGGATTGCATTCTGCTCAGCCATTCTTATTTTGGTATACCTCATGTCTAATTCTTTCTTTGCCTTCTCCAACTCAGGAATTTCATTCTGCAATAAAGTGCACAATGCGCCAAGCTGTTCTTCGGCATGCATAATTCCCTTTGTTGCATGCTGTGCTGCTCTTTCTGCAATCTTTCGCTTAATCTTTCCTCCGCTCTTAATAGATGCCGTATAATATTCTATTAAATATGTTAGAAGAGACTTCTCGTCACACACTCCCTTGACCAGATCATTAGCACTAATCAGAGCAGGCACCTCAAGATACTCCTCAGCCAGGGCAAAGGCCCTTTCTGAAATGTCTTTGGCCTTCCCATCATCAAAAACAAACCCACCAACATCAGAGTGCACCAATGCAGACAGGGCTTTTCCATCTACCCAGCTGCTTCCAAAGTCTTTTATACTTACTCCATAATTTGCTGTTTTTCTCTGGCACCACTTAAGAATTCTTTCATGTATACTTTCTCCATTTTCTCGTATTTCCCGAAGAGAGAATGCCATAATGAACCTCCAAATTAAAGCAAGAGTGAGCTTTATGCTCCCCTCCTGAATATCAGCAGCGCCAATGTTTACCATCTCTACTCCATTCTGTTTCAAATACTCAATGATTCTCTCAATGTTCTCTCTTTTGTGCACGACCAAGACAGGCTTAGCATTAAATCTTAATATTGATCCTGTCGCCGAATATAATAAAGAGTGCAGAACTATTCCGTCTTGAAGATCTCTTTTAAGATCGATTACTCTTTTAAATGAAAATGCCGCAACTGCAGACTCTTCTTTGTATCGCGCTTCACCCTTTTCCAGTTTGGAATTTATCCAATTTACAAATGTTTTTGTTTGCACGGTCTCCCAAGTCTCTTCCCTTTGCATGCTAGGGGCTAATCTATTTTAAAAAATAAACAGGGGAATGTTTGCCAATTATTTGTATCTAAATGTATTCTAGATATATGCTGGAAAAGATAAACGAAGGAGAGAGAAAGTGCCTGGAAGAACAGATGATATGCGCAGTAACGGGTCAGCAGACACCAATAAAATATTATGCGCTGCAAAAAATAGGGATAGGCACCTTTGGCCTGGTTTACAGAATAGTAGTTGACGGTTCTTTATGCTATGCCTTGAAGTGTGTATTTGAGAAGAAAACGCACATGAACAGAGAACTAGAGATGCACCAATCCTTATCCCATCCAAACATAGTACGGCTTATCTGGTACTTCTATGGGGAAAGAAATGAAAATGGTGTCTTTCTGAATTTAGTAATGGAGTATGTAAGAAGTGACCTTTTTTCGAAAATACAGGAGCGGTATGTTTTTAGCAAAGACGAGTTTATAAACTATTCGATAATGCTTCTGGATGCTCTTTCCTATATGCACGCGTGTGGCATAGCACACAGAGACATAAAACCATCAAATATATTAATAGACACAGAGAAGGCACTATTGAAAGTGTGCGACCTTGGGAGTGCCAAAAATATAATTAACTGTCCAAATAACATTCTCTATATATGTTCTCGGTATTATAGAGCACCCGAAATTCATTTGAAACAGAAGTATGGCATGGGTATAGATGTATGGTCTGCAGGCTGCGTTTTATTTGAAATGGTTGTGCAGGAGGCCCTATTTCCGGGGGATACTGCTGAGGATTGCTTGACGCATATTGAAAATCTTGTATTAAAGGACGGCCTTTCCCAGATTATCTACAGCACAGGACGAAGTGATCTTTCTGATTGTTTCAGAATACTCAGAAAAATGATTGCATATGACCCAAGTAGAAGAATAAGTGCATCTGATGCGTTAAAATATTTCAAGGAGCTTCAATTAACTGAGAATTTATGGAAGAATGTATCCGAATGATTTCTGGTATTTTCCTACTGCTGGACATGCTACTGTACATTACTGTGATAAATACCACTTAAATATTCTCTTTTCTATTTTTACTTATTATTCTTATTTTTATTAATGCATTCCAGAAAGGAAAGGCACACTAATTATTGTATATAAAATTCAGATAGAATTATATTTCATTGTCTTCTATACAATATAAAAGAGTATTTAAGAATATTTATTTTATAGTCAGTGTATATGTAATAATAAGACAAAGTATTTGAGAATACAATCCGAAATTTGATCATCTAAATTCAATTTATTATCTAATGCAAGAAATAAATAATATTTTATTTTAATAAAGTATGCTTATATTACATCTACTTATATAAGGATTTCATTGTCTTATATTGGCATGTTTGGCTAATGATTTAAAAAACTCATTAAATATATGCATCCAAAAGAATCCACCAACTATTAGTAAAATTAAAATTAAAAACTTATTTAAATTTCTCATTCCATATGAGAAACTCGTGTTTACCTTTTCAGTTAATGACTGAAGCATTTTTTTACCATAGAAAATAGACCTTTCTATATAAGAACCTTTAACAATCTCTTCATGGTCTGCGTAGACAAACTTATTTTCCACGTATTCTTTTATGGATTCATCAGTTTCTCCCCCAGAAACAAGACAGTTTATATGTTTTAAAAAATGGTTGGCTTTGTCTATAGCATTGCCCGTACGATGATTTCCTACCCCATTCAGTGGGTTTTTTGCTAATGTGTTAACTAGAACCTGTGAAAATATCTTCTGATTTAGCATCACATCAAAAAATCCATTTGCATCAATTTTAGATTTGAGTTCGTTAAGCTTCATTTTTCTATGCACCTTTCTCTCTTCAACTGGCATATCTACTAGTTTTTGTTTTTCTGATAGTTCTGGGAAAATCTCTGCAAGGTCTTTTTGATTAAATATGTCCATAATGCTAGTGTTATTACTGGTTGGCGTATAATCAATTATTTTTTTAGCCTGTATAATACTATCAAAATATTTTTCGTATTCTGCCTCTGTATGGCTTTCTTGTTGATTTGAGTTTATAACAAATCCTCTTAAAATATTTAACAACTCGGTTTTCTCATCTTCTAATACGTCATTAACTCTATTAGAAAAGTTTTGGCCCCATGTATTTCTTAGAGAAGAAATTGTAATTGGATTATTTTTAGATTGGTTTTTTGGGGGATTTTCTACATCTGGTATACGTATTAGCAGATCCATTACTTTCATAAGTGATTCTTTATTGTTTCTTAATAGAATACTTTTAAAAATAGGTGCCGCTATTAAACTATTAAACTCTTTGTTTTGAGTATTTTCTGGATTGTTTTTATACACAGCTTCAAGCCTACTAACAATTATATTTAAGACTCTTTCTTCCTTTTCTTTATTTGAGTAGAAAGTTTTCTGAGTTTTGTAGTCTATAAGTTTGATTATATCGCCATCTGTAAATGGCACTATTTTTATATGTGGTTTAGTGATTACGCTTTTCTCTGATTCTTGCATTTTCTACTGGAAAAGTTTTAACTTTTTCGGAGTTTTTATACCAATAATTATTTGCACTTTAATAATTGGTGCATATAGAGCGGACAATTGTATTGAATAGAAGTTTGCAGTTAAAAACAATAGCTTCAATCGTCCTGTAATAGAGAACTAACACAGTATATTTTGTCTATATAGTTATATATAGAATGGTTTAGAATATCACATAAATACAGTAACACTGATGTGTTCAATAGATTAAGTAAGAAGCTGTTTATTCCTCGCAGTAATTAGCATTGATCTGTGTTTTTAGAGTTCACATGGGAGTATTTGTACAGATTAAATGTGTTTGTATGCTGTGTGTGAATATGTGCCATGACTGTATGGTTTACCGGTGGCTCTGTGACTAGTACACTGTTTTTTTCCAGAGGAATAGATGAGAAGTCATTTGCTTGTATGTATATATCCTTCTGTTTTTTGTATAGGGCACTGTTCTTTAGCTCATTAATCAGATTCATGTTGAGCTCGCTTGGGGAAAGAATCCTCTTATCTGATGCACTTGGGACTGTCTCAGAGCTAATTGGTTTTCTTGGGCGTGCTGTTTCTATTTTAGATTGGGTTAATTCTAATTTAGAATCTGCACGAGTTTTATCCTCTAGCTCATTGGCGCAATTGTTTTTCTTTTCTACCAAGGAAACCTTTTTTCTACTTTTGGCAGAATCATCTGTCTTGCTGCACTGTGCGGTGCTAGACATCAGATGAATGCTGTGTGCAAAGTGGGAAGTTTCTTTTACGTATTCTTTGTTTGGGAAAGACAGCACATTTTTCATTTTACTGTTTTTCTCCTTCTTAAAACAAATTCCCTGCAGTAAGCCGGTCAAAAGATTGTTTGTTATGGCTTTTATTTCTCTTAAAACACCATATAAGAGAACAATACTACGCTTTGTGGTTAAGCACCCCTTGTCTGCACGTAAAGCCATAGCACTGGTTTCATCGTGCAGCTGAGTATACATCTTCTTAAAGCCACAGTCCATTAATGCAGCGGTGTTTATCAAGGAAGTTGGGTTAAGTCCCATTGAAATAAAACACTGCGCAACCTCGCTGGTCAAGGCTATAGAGTCTCCAGAGATTTCTGTCAACTTTCTGTGGAACTCGGCCTCATACTCTGCAGCCTTTGTAGATAGCGTATATTTATGTTTTTTTAGATAGAATAAAAGAATAATTGAAGTGTATGAAATGTCCTTCATAGATGATGTGTGCTTAATTACTCCAATGATATTTGTTATAAAGCGCTTGGCAAGAGAAAGTATTTCCTGCTTTTCCTTGTCTGTCTTGATTTTGTTATACACAAGCAGTGTGGTATAGTCTAAAGTTTTTTTGTACTCGATTTCCTCCTTGGATTCTATCTGATTTTTGGTATTCAGGTGTTTGGCAATACAGAGATTTTCATCTTTGTCGGCATCTCCGTCTATACTTGTGAAGGCAGAAGACCCCTTTGAAGTCTCTGTATTGTGTAGACCCTTTTGTGTCTTATGTAACCCTGTGACCTGATCTGATTCTGCATTTGAATCTTTATTGTCAGGAGATTGTTCATTTTTAACCTGAACACTTGTACACATAAAAACACTTCTCAGCACACTCTCTTCTCCCAGTGTGAAAATGCTTATTACGTGTCCACCAACGACTCCTGTCACTGTCTTTACTTTTTTATAACACTTTTTGATATTATGCATAATTCTTGATGAATTTTCATCTTCTTTGTGGTCTGCCTCCTGTGTTGTCATTTTGTGTTTATCATAATAAAGAATATTTATGCTTTGCCAATAGTTGCATAGAATAACAAATTGAAATAATTTTCCAATTTGATACAAAAAGTATCTAAGATATGTTTCAGAATTATTTTGGGCTGTTTCGGGTTTGTTCTGTATGTGTGACATGCAGTGCTTCTGGATATTTTAAGAAAGTGTTAACCCAGTTGGTTTGCACTAGAATTAATGTTAATTTAAACCCGGTCTTAGCCTAAGGGCCTTTTAATTATCATGCTTTTGGATTAAATTAAATTAAACTTCAAGCATAGTGCAAGGAAATGCCTGGGCATATTCTACTAGGCACATCCAAAATGTGCAAAAACCATCAAAAGCTATTCCTCTGCGCTATATCCAAGATACTATAACAAATATACTATCCATGCCACCACAGTAAATATACATTTCGACTGTGCATACACTGCGCAGTAGTATATTGTGCTAGCTAAGCAGAATTTACGGAATATTTTAATTTTGGAGTATTTATTTTCATTTCCAGCCATGCTACTGCCAACATACTAATAATAACAAGTAAATAAATCAAATTCATATTCTAACAAATCTCTACTAATTAATTTTCACTTTCTATTTTTGGTAATTTTGTCTTTCTATGCTTGAAGCAGTATTTAGAATATGAAAATTCTTTTTCAGTCGATTGAACTTTTAGCGTATTTATTTAAATATAACCTTTTAAACAAAGCATTTCTAGCAGAGAGAATGAGTAAATGTATACTTGTCTAAAATTGAATAAAACCAGCGAGTAATTCCAAGTACATTAGCATGCCCTCGTTTTGCAGAATTTCGATACCTTTCCATGTATTGGTAGTTTGAAATTAGACAAAAGCTATTTGATTCTAAATAATGCTGCCACCTGTTAAGTGCAAATACAACGGCATGTAGCGATTTCTCGTTGTAATCATAACTTCTGTGTGGCATCTTCAATGTCTGTGATGCGTATTCAATTATTTTATAATTTTGTGTGAGTTTTGCACTAATACTGTGCATATTTACAGTGACCAGCACAGTGAATGGGTCATTAAAGTTGGGAAAATAAATATTGTTGAGCTTTGTTACATTCTTCCTTATATTGTTAAATGCATTTTTATGAGAATTACACCATTGGTATTTGCACTCTTTAACGTGTGACAAAATATACAATGGCTTGAGTATTTCTGCAACATTACGAATAAATCTACGGTTGACATGCACACAGGATATAAATCTCTTTAAATCCAGTGGGTTACTCGGGATTTTATAAGAAAGTATCTTCTGCACACTAGCTTTATCTGGTGTAATAAACCCATCATATTCAGAAATGTGTATTCGGTTTAAATTAATCTCTTTTCTGGCCAGAAGTGCATCCTCCCATATTATATCCAACCCATATTGCTTTATTCTGCACAGTACATTAGATACATCTTTTTTATGGTCCTCGATAGTATTTGAGAATACAACAATGTTTTCATAGTAAGACAAACAGGTATTCATTGCATACCCTTCAAGAATATTGTCCATTCTCTCTTGAAAGATTACATGTGAATTAATGTATCCAATTGGAAGAACCTTAAACACAAACTTTCTGCTTTGTACCTTGAATGTACTCTTTACTCGTGAAGATTCATGTAGTGGAATATTTGAAAATCCTCCTTTAATAGAGAATATAGAAAAGTATTTTATGCTAGTATGCGTTGAGAAGAATTCAGCTGGATTAGGAATCGGATATAAACTCTGCCTTACTGCTTTATTTAGCATCTTAAAATCAAGAGTCAGCATAGGAGATCTCAGATGCCGCTCTACCATTACAACGGGCATCTGCCATTCACTTACTATTTCAGTTGTTTCTTCAATATGTTCGATTTTTAAGAGTCTTTCTACTTCCATTACTGTGGAATCTAAATAATTATGATAGATTCCCTGGGTATTTATAGCCGTGAACCCTTTCTTTGTATAAATATGTGCTTCCTTTATTGCTTTCTCCTTTTCAGTCATCATTACTTCTTCATATATAGCTTTTATTTCATTTTCATTGAAGAATGACTGGCTTGCTAAGGTTGTAAATAATTTTGCTCTTTCTACACTCATAATATACACTTTTTCACTGCTATATATACTTTTTCGAGCAAATCAGTTTGATTTGTACCTTTATTATTAATATTAATGGAAAATCGGCTGTTTTTATTATTATTCCTTAATGTAGTATTTTTATGTCTATTGTTACTCAATAAGATTGGTTATACATAATAAATATACTTTTAGTTAAAACCCCTTATAGAAAGTATAAGAACTATTGTGTAATTCTATTTAGTCTGAATAAGAATCTATGATTATTCTGGGTTATCTATTTTAGAACATTCAACTTGATTATTATGTATTTTATTGTAATAGGTGGATATTTAATAATTTATTTGCATCTAGTTGTTTAAAGCATACTATAATTAATAAAATAAAATTAGTACACTTTAAAATAAAGCTATATAAATGATTTTCTTTTCTGGCCACTCGATTCTCTGTCAGCATTAAATAAGATTTCTTCACTATTGGATTTTGTAGGGTTGTGGGCCCTTTTATTATCTTTAGGCATACTAGGATTGGCTGTAATGCATTTTATTTCCTGGGTGAGGGCGGTTATGAGGGTGTTGAAATCTGACTCTGTAATTACATTTTGTATTATAAGTTCTTGTTTCATTTTATAAATATTTTGAAGAGATATGCGGTAGTAAGATTCCTTCAGGGGTATTTTGACTTTAGATAAGTCAAGAGCATTTATATTTAGTCTGCGCATGAACTGGGCAATCATCATTTTTTCAATGCTTGCTTGGCTTGCATATATTAAAAAAATGAAGTATATACTATTGATTATAGTATAATCCGTATCTATACACACATCCACATCGATTAGATTGGAGATCCAGTGCTTGATTGGCTCGTTATATTGCTTTTTTATCTGTAGACAAATCAGCCGGTATGCCATAATGTTATTAGATTTAGCTATATCTGCATTTGCACTTTTATTGCTAAACTCTAGCATAGTTTTAATTATAATAATTGATGAAATTGTGCGATAAATAGTGCGTGTGATTAAATAGTTATTGAAATTTATCGTGGCTGGTTCTTTTGTGTTTGTTTTTAGTCTAGATTTAATGTAAATAGCTATGTTTTTTAGTTTGTTCTTGGTATAGAACAGCGGATTCGCCTGTATTAAATTTGAGGTAAACCCTTCAGCTAGTGGGTGTGCCTGCATGTCTATACTCATTTCTATCAAATAGTTTATGAATGAATCGGCGTAGATAGGGTTTTCTTTACACCAGATCACATACTCTAAAATAGCAATTCCATTTACTTCTATTAAACATATCTTTTTTAGCTCTTTCAAAACATATACAAAAACATTAGAATAAACTATCCCGACTTCGTATGAAATATCTACTCTTTTTCTATTTAAACTAACACAGTATCTAAACATATAGTATAAAAATGTGTTTTTGTCTTCTATTTCTAGCGCTTTGTTAACTAACTCTTCAAAGTGCCAAGCATTTGTAATGACTATGTCTATCATGGCACTGTACTCATGTATTATAAATTCTGATTCTTCTGTTTTTGGTAGAAAATAGTCGTTAAATATTTCCCACGCTCTTTTCTCTTGCATTTTCTCTGCTGATTCTTCCGTATTGTCTGGTTCAATATACATATACTCATTTAGTAGCTCATATACCTCATTCGCACAATTATATATGCCATGTTCAAAGATGTTATAGTCATTTGAGAATTTTATAAAGTAAAAAAGAAACAGCTGCATAAGGTACCACATGCTGTGCATGAACTTTCCAGACGTTAGATCACTCAATGTTTTAGGGCGAGATAAAAGTCCTTTATCGCGCAAAAATTGACTGTTTTTATACCGAATAAAAAAGGAAATAACATCTATGGACCTGTCTATACAGAATACCATCTGCCCGTCATTTAAATTCGCTGCATCCTGTTTAATTCGTTTTAGGTCAATGCTAAAATGAATCTCTCTTTTATTGCGGGTTCTTTTCTGCAAGAACAAGCGCATTTCTTTTTGATCATAGACTAAAGGAATATCAATTCCTTCAGAAATTAAAAGAAGAGCTGCTATCAGCCTATATCGGTACAGGTTTATTCCTGGAATACGTAAAAATGCTAAAAAAATACTATTTGGAATGCGGATATCTGGTATGGGCTTTATAAGAAACATATACTTGAATGTGTTCCTGAACCTATGAGCGTATTCATCACATTCACAGACTGGCTTTTGGAACTGATAAATTATATCTAAGTATAAATTACTCTTATACTTATTGTATTCAGCGCCGTCATTCAATACAAATGAAGTATTTAGTTTATATAGCCACAGTGGATGCAGCTCTACACAGGAAAGATAACTTAAAAGGGCCCCATATAGGCAGTTAATAGATCCTGTCTTACTTATATAGAAGTTGTTTTTGTTTTGGAAATAACCGATAGAAAACTTATCTGCCATTGCACTATTATAAACATACCTATTTGTATCTGCGTGGCAGATTTCTGCTGCATAGGTCGCTATTATTAGAAATATTGTTTTTATAGTTCTTTTTTTTAATCGCATGCTTCTTCTAAAAAGAGTATTTTAAATTATATAAAACTGCTTTACCCGGGCATTTAACATAGGCAAATTTCTAAGAATTATTAGAAAAGCTTTAGAAGAATTTTAGAAGTCTATTAAGCATGCCATAAATAAAAGAAAGAAAATTATGGTATGTTGGTTTTCCATGGACGCATGGATCCCATAATCGCCTTTGAGTGTCATTGGCCTTGTGCGGCTGTCACTTAACAGACCCCAGTGATTTGATTATGTTGTGACAGCAGCTGTTACAACACGGAAAAACTATATAAGGACGATGGATAATAAATAAAGATCCAGTTTACATGAGTAGATCCAGTTTACATTTTAGAGGCAGAGAGAAAAACAGCTTGGTATTTTAAAGCGCACCATAACCCGAAGTTAGTTATATAGTAGAAATAAAGCATTATCTGATGTTTGAATCACTACTAATAAACATTCCGGCATTAATAAGATTTACTGTGTATTCTTATAATTTAGTAAATTTCTATTTAGAACAGTTAGAGCTGTTACAGCAAATATATGTACATACAACAGAATAAACCCTATTAATTAAAATTCATACGCTATAAATTACTGAAGAAACATTCTAGAGTCTAACAGCTTTTAGTGTTTAAACCCCAATTCACTTAAACAAAACAAAATTAGAAAAGAAAGAGAATATTTTTAAAATAAACATAACAAAACAAATTGGGAATGCAAAGAGTCTATAACGTTGAATCTCTACTATAATGCTGTATTTGTTTTTAGTACTTGTACATTTATTACTGTATATAAAATGAGCCAAATAAAATATTATTCTGTATGTGTTTATATTAAAAAAATATTACCAGTATTAGCTATATTATTTTCGTATGTGCACTCTTAATATTTCCATATACTGGTAAATTATTATTTTTAAATTAAAAAAAATGTATAAATGCCAAACTAATACTTAAAATTGGAATGGATAATAAATCAAAATCGAGTTATAAGAGTGCTAATAAACAGTATTGTATTGAAAAAGCTGCTCTATTGAACAAACACAGTAATAATACAAATAACGAGATAGAACTCGATAAATTTAATTATTTTAATCTATCTGATCTTCAATCTACTAACGGAAAATTAAACATGGAGAATACTTCTAAAAATAATTGTAATATCGACCCTACTAGAATGAAACATGATTCAACGGAGAGTATATCTAATAAAGATAATACAATGAAAATTTGTGTTGATAACCTACGGCGATTCGAACATATAGAGGAAAAAACAAGCAGAAGAAAGCGAATACAGAAGGCAATTTTGGTTTCTTGTATGTTTATCATATCATTAATGGTGTTTTCTATATTCATAATTTTTATAATTCATCTATTTTCCCCCAATATTACTGAAAGACTAAATATATCACAGTTTATTCCAGAGTCAGTAGACAAACTAAGCAAAAAAATAGACGTTATAAAGAGGGTAGGGATTTCTTTATTAAATACAACAAACACATCAGAAGTGACTACTATGTCATCTACTTCTGATCTTCCAACAACCAGTTCTATCAAAGATATATCTACTATACCTACTACATTAAATACAACAAACACATCAGAAGTGACTACTATGTCATCTACTTCTGATCTTCCAACAACTAGTTTTATCAATGGTATATCTACTGCATTTACTGCATTAAATGCAACATATGCTATAAATGATTAATGCAAAAAGCGAAATATAACACAAAATAGATAAAGTATACTTAACTGCTAGCCACTCAATATACTTATAGATGTCAGACATAATTACTTAGAAATATTCTCTACTGTAGTTAGTCTTCCCGCATTTGTTAATTATTCCTTCTAAAATTTCCTTATTTTACTGAGGATTTTATTCAATTAATAAATTGGTTTTTAAAAAATCTGACTACTTTACTGTGAGTTATATATCACTAGAATTAGCAATATATTTTCTAATTGGGTTTAATTTGCTTTTTATAATTTATGGATTTATTTCAAATTGGAATTTTCTGTCCCGATACATAAGCTGTAAAAACAATTTAAATTTTTACTTTATTAGCAATAGTATCCCAGATGCTGTTACATTAATTTTAAATATAATAACCATATAATACTGACGACACTGCAGAATATAGTCATATCTATAAAAATGATTAAAAGCATTGTGTTCGTGTTAATTGCATCTATTTCTATTTCATCTGCATTCAGCTGCCTATCCTGCACTGTTAATGGATTAAACTTGTCTTCTTTATCATTATATAGTAAAGAGGGAATAGACTCTTCTATGTAATCTTTCTGTGCAAATAATGTTTTTAAAGATACCCTGGTGGAATACGCAAGGTGTCTGTATTAATTCTGTAAAAACAGCTCTATTCGAAATCTAGCCTAATTCATGGATTTTTCGGATGGGTTTTTGCCTTTATAAATACTTCTAATCCCAATAAAATTAAAGGCATTAGTGTAATCGCCAGAAAGTAGAATTAGATTTCTAAGTTCATTTGCAATTCCTTGATATGCACTAAAAATATCTGGCATAAGAATAAGCAAATCAATTATTTTATACCAGAATTCTTCTGGGCGTTTCCTATAATCTATTAAATACCTTTTAAACGCATAAGAATTAATTAGCTCATAAATAGAGCAGTACCCACTGCATGGGTCTTCTCTCCATATACTTGCATTTGTGTACTCATCTGTTATTGTTATAGAATAACAACCATCTGCTTTGTACTGTTCTGTCAAATTGTATAAGGGCCTTCTGTCAGACTTAAAATTGGCTATGTGGTTTTCTAATTCTTTATAAATATTATTAAAACTTTCCACACTTCTTTTTTGTTTTTATTTTGAGTATCTTTATTATTACCGTATTCCTCCATTCCTTGCTTTAGTATGTTTAAAGAAAGCTTCATGTTTTCTTCCTGTTAAATTAAGTTGGTGCCATTTGGCACAAGTAGGTTATATCTAGCATCTTTTGTTTTACTATTTATATATGATTTATTTGTTACTGTTATGTACTCACCTATTCCATCTACAGATGCTATTACTAAAACGAGTTTTATAAAAAGAGTCCCTACCGCAGTTATTCTCCGAAATAGTTTATTCATAAAACATTTTATCTAGAACCATATTTATATATTCTTTGCTATCTATTTTAACAATTTGCTGAATTAATAACATCAAAATTTTGATTTTAATGCATTTATTAATTCTATTTTAATCCGTTTTCCAGCAAATCATCTGAAAACTCTTAAAGCATTTTATGCAAAGCAACTTCTATAAAGAATTTTTATTGTATATTTCATTTCATAGGCAGAAAAAACTAAATTATCAGGCTATGAACTATTAATATACAATAAAAATCACCTTAAGACCACTTAATAGAATATATGTGTGTTATATGTATGTAATAGTAAATTTAATATGTTTAGGCCAATAAACATAATATATTTTCTGTTATTTTATAATTTTCATGGCATTCTCTAACTGTAGTCCTTAATACACATAAGTTTAGTTATTTAAATAATTGATTTTATAGGAGTTGTTTACTGGTTAGGTTTAACTATTGTAAGTTGAAAATAGTTTTTCTGTAAATAGAATATAAATAATATTATTCTCTTGCTTATACGTAATTTTTCTGTTATATTCTGTTTTGTGGTGGTATTCTTTATTGTTTGAGCATCTTCCTTAGTAAAACCCAAAAATTATTTTATGTAAAAATCCATGGGAATATGCAAGCTAACTGAGCTATTAAAAGAAAAAGCACCAAAGTCAATAAGAAACACGCAAATAGAAAAGTATCGAGGGTGGAAGGTTGCAATTGATGCAAGCATGATATTATATCAGTCTCTTGTGGCAATAAGATACGGAATGGACAACTTAAAAAACAAGAATGGAGAGACAACTGCACATATATATGGAATATTCTACAAGACCATAAATCTTCTTGAGAAGGGAATAATTCCTGTGTACATATTTGATGGGCAGCCGCCAGAGCTAAAGGAAAACACTCTAACAGAAAGAAGAATTCGTAAGGAGCAGGCTGAAAAGGACTTAGTTGAAGCAGTGACTGAAGAAGAAAAGGTAAAGCACGCAAAAAGGACCGTGCGTGCGACTAAGTACCACGTTGAGTCTGCACAGCATTTGTTAAAGGTAATGGGAATTCCATATATGACAGCACCAAACGAAGCAGAGGGGTTCTGTGCTGCGCTGAACATATGTGGAGCTGTGAACGGGGTGGTCTCTGAGGACATGGACTCCCTGGCATTTGGAGGAAAGATTCTTCTTCGAAACTTCTTCCCTGCTCTTATGAAAAAGAAATTATCTGTGATGGAAATATCTCTAGAGATGGTTCTTAAACAGACTGGGCTAGACCAGTCAGAATTTATTGATATGTGCATACTTTTGGGATGTGACTACTGTCAGAAGTTAAAGGGAATGGGCCCAAAGAAGGTATATGATTTGGTACAAGAGCACCGCTCAATAGAAAAATTACTAGAAAACGGGAGGGTAACAATGCCAGAAGAGGGGTGGCCATATATCCAAGCAAGAGAAATATTCACATCACAGGATGCAGGCAAGCCTCCCGTTTTTTCTCTTTCTCCGCCTGATGTAAAAGAAATACTGCAATTCTTAGTGGAAGAAAATGGGTTTGACACAAAAAAAGTAGAAACCGCTATTGAAAGGCTACAAGCACAAAATAAAACAAAAAAACAGTCATCTCTTCTGATGTTTGCCAAGAAAGTGGTATAACCAAAAAAGCTGCACTTTTCGGACCATATCCTTGTATGTTTTATATAAAGGATTCTTTTAGTATGGCTATACTGAATATAAAATGAATTAATACAACCAAATTTTTGTGGCTGAAGTATTAATAAGTAATACAATCTATAAATTTCAGAATTTCGGATTATAAACAAATCTATCTATAATATGTGGTTTATGTAGAGTTATACATAAATATTCCTTAGATTTCTTGTGTTCAATACACTTGTCTTATTATGAAACTAGGATTAATTTTGTTCAGAATAAACTCTTGTTTATATTATATCTTGTAGTAATTATTTCTCTTATAACAAATATATTTTCTCTTTATTTCCAATTTATTTTATATATGTTAAAGAAAATAAATAAAAAGTGTATACATTTATTATTTCTATATACATTGTCGTAATTGACATTTCTCCATAGTTTTAATTTATTTAAAATTTGATACCCCCAAGCAGCAAGCAAGTTATATTTAGGTAACATGAGAACACAGACATTTTACTATAAATACCATATAACAATAGAATATCAAGCAAGATGGTTTTTTCTTGATTTTCAGGTTAGACATCCAAAAACTTGTTATTTATTTAATTCACGCCGCCCTTGTATATATGCCTGCAATCACACAAGCTGTCATTTATTGTTTGACATTTTAATATAATCTTTTTGTTTACTATTCTGGATCTAAGTATTTCAAACCAACAATACAGATGTCTAAAGTTATATAAGACAAGAATAATAAAAAATTTAAAATGAGTTTCAATTATGTGACAGAGGATAAACAACTAGTCTTAGCCTGAGGTTCAATAAAATTATTTAAAAAAGTTATTTATTTAAATAGTGCTTACAAAAAAAAATAAAAATGAGTAGTTCAACAAAAGAACCATTAAGAATACTAAACAACAGAACAAGAATCACAAATACAGAGGATGTGGTGAAAGGAATACCACATAAGAAAAGCAAAAAGAACAAAAATTCCAACCAAAGTTCACATGATTTATCTATATTAGATTATTATTTTAAAAATAACAAGTACCCACCAGAAGGGCATTGCATAATAAATTCAATAGTAGATAAATCAGCAAATAAATTAAATAACGGAATAGTAATCCAAGACTGGAAAGAGTATACCCGTAGAAAAGAAGCTGCATTGCCATTCAAGTATAAAATAATCAATGCACGTCTATACAGAAATGCACAAAATGAGGATGAATTCTTGCCTGCTGAGGTAGCATTTCCTATGATTACACCCGAGATTAGGCCACACATTCATATATGGAAAAGAAAAGCCTGGGTTGCTATTCAGATAGGCAATCTAAACCACAATCTTATGGATCTGATTGAATCAATATTACCAAAAAGATCAAAGGGCGTATTAGGAGAAATTAAAAATGTAGATACTTTGCTTGGTGCTGTTTGCCGAATGATTGAGGATATGTATCCCCATAACGACGAGGTAGCGCCATACCAAGGGGATTTCTTATACATTAGAGATTACTACAATGCGGTTAGATGGCGCATTGTAAGACAGAGGCCATATCGCATTTCAGATAGAGAAATTAAGAAATGGATATACAGAGATTTCATAGATGGACTGTGTCATGAAACACATTTACGATATTCAGATATAGTACATGAAAAATCAACATCTGCATATGTGTGCGCGCTAGAATGCAGAGAAAATGTGATTATTCAAGAAATGAACGACTATTACCAGAATCCATTAACCCATCCAGATGCCCAGGTGATTTTGGATATATATGACACAATAGATATTTCGAATAGTCCAGATTATTACAATGAGAGACGAGGCACTCTATATTCTGAGATGATGCAGAATGAGAAAAAACGCGGTTCAAAATCGATGGACTCGTTAGACAAAAAAAAAGAAAAAGTGCCGCAAGACACACCAATTAATAGAAATTGTCCTAACTGCAGGCCGCCTACGGTTGTACATAAAATTTATATGATACTTGGCGGAGAAGATGTTAGATTTGAATTAAGTCCAATTTCAGATTTTAATACACTACCAATAGAACTAGTGAAATACTTAGAACTTCCTGTTTATGAGGAAAAGAAAAGTAAATATAATGATAATGAAGAAAGTGATTCAGACACACCTTTATTGATAGTAAAAGCAAAGGTGTGGGTATTCGAGCTACAACAAATGCAAAAAATTAAATTCTATGTGAAACCAGGTGATCCAATGCTAGGTGGCCTATGGATGGAAGAGAATAATGTTAAATTACCAATGTAATAAATAATACTTCTTTTCGACAAATAACGAGTTATGTATGGAGTTCTCATAGATGCCTTCTAAAAAGCGGGCAATTTCTGAAGAGTCTCTAACTTTCCATGCTACATACAGCAGCTGATTCTAAAAAATAGAGAAGAAACTCGAGAAAAACACTAAAGAAAAGAAACAAATCAGTTAACTCAGAAAAACAAAATAGAAGAACATCATATTCTCATATTAAAAGAGGAGGCAAGGAGACTACAAGAGAACAATACTATTAAGAAAGTAAAGGTGTGTGATTTTACTTCTCCAGCCACCCTAGTAAAAAAACTAAAAATGGGAGGTATGAAATAGTGGCCTTGGTCCTCTGTGCGCCCCAGATATCATGCACGCCTTAGTGGTGACATTGCGCCTTCCAGTAGCAATGAAACATAGTCTATGAAATGCGCCTTATTTGGGAGTGTATTGGTGTGATGGAATCAAATGATGGAGGGCCGAAATTATATAATATTTTCAAAAATTAATAAAGAAGAGATGCTGGCATGACTAATAAGAGTTCACATTTACGAGGAAAAGGGGAAAACCAGACAGGGGCAAATTATTCTAAGGTGAATAACAGTATACAAGATAAAGAAGATATAATTCCAGACGTTGTATGCTAAGAATAGCATTTGTGTAGCATGACATGAGTTATCGGAATGTTTGCATAAACATGACAACACAAATTAAATCAGAAATACTTGTTGACACATCAAGTCAATATAAATTAAATTGATTATACGGTATATAGATGTGTATACAAATTCAATAAAGGTCAGAGTTTAAGAATGCCTTTTTCTAAGAAAACAACTCCAGACATATATGGCATATTAAGAGAAGAAGCAATAGGAATAAATAGTGCGGTGATATATTTCAAATACTTAATATCAAAAGGAAATAGACAGATGTATATCTGCGCAGAAGACAAAGACATTCTAGTATGTGATCAAGCTACGAATATATAAGAAAAATGAAAGATATAACTATTCAGTATAATATGAAGATGAAAAAAGTAACTGGACAGGAGTCTATAATGAAAGAGTATATTACAAAAGCAGAGAATAGAATTGCGGATCTATACCAATATGAGAAGAATTAAAGCATGTGAACTATGCATGATTTATTAAAAATAAAATATTACAAAAATTAAATAACTGAAAAAATCACTAAAGAGATGCATGGTCAAGAATTTCATGGCAATAAGTAAAACAAAGGTATTAAATATGAATATGGAGCAACAATAAACCGTTTATAAACCCGAAAATAAATCATTTATACTAAATTATTAACACTTACAAAATAATAGAGTGTTTTTCTCTAGGATATTCTGTATAGGCTATATTCACTTATTTATATTGCAATTTATTACAGATACATTCAAATACCTTCGAACTAGTTGTTATATATGTAAAACAATTGCGATAAAAATAAAATATGTAAATAATATGCAGAACAATTATGTGGGCTGACTATTTGAGCCATTAATCGTAAATTGTTCTATAATAGTAGTAGTATATATACACGGTTGTAATACTGGGATTGAGAATATAAATTAAAAAAAATTTGATAGAGGCGTGGTAAATCAATGAGAGGAGGGCAGAAACCGAGACAGGAGAGAGAAAGTACCACTAAAAGCAGAGCGCACGCAATTTCAAATGAATTACTAATGGATGAAGAGTTTGCAGAAAATATAAATAAAAATAATATGAGAAACACGCCATCCATTCCCGTTGAGGCAAGCGAAAAAAGAGAGAAAAAGATACAAGAAATAATAAACCGGCTGGAAAGGTCAAAATATTTAAACCACACAGAAGAGGCCCCAATAGAGAGAAGTCCAGCAACAAGAAGCCAGCGCAGAAACTCAAACGGCTTTAGCACTTCATCAAAAGAAAGAAGTGACCGCGAGTGCCCGATAAAAAGCAAGCAGAAAAAAACAAATGAAGTACGGGCAGGGTCTTCGCTTATTTTACCAATTCGCACAGCCAACTCACAACGAATAGATCCAACACAGCACACATTTAATCAGCTTATAGAATCATCTCCAGTAATTAACCAAATGAAAAATATATTAGAAGGAATAACCACGCTATTAAACGCAAAGGCATTAGAAGAGGCACCAAAGGAAGAAACACCAGAAATGCCGGTTAAAAGCGAAAAAATAACAGAAATATTTGAGAATGGCATGTCTTCATATGATGAGTCGTTAGAAAAGGAATTGTTACAAGAAAACCAGGATGTATACCCAGAGGTAGTGTATGAAGAAATTCTTGACAACAATTTTTATCAGCCAAATATGTCTTATAACACAAAAATCCCTGCTAAGAAAGAAAGGAAGAGAAAGAGATTGACACAAGAGAAAGCACAATTATGTCTAGAAGAAATGACAAAAAGAGAAATTTCTAGAAGAAATAACCGGTATCTTTTTTATAGAATATCAAACATGCCGCCTATTAACTGTGCAATTGCTAAACTACAGCAAATTTGGTGTACAATTGCAGATTTACGTCTTATAGATCTAGGGATGATTGTTATGTTAGACAAAACAGAGGCACAGTTTATTATTTCGCAGAAATCTATAAAAAAGCTGGACCTAATTACAGAGGGCTATATGAAACTCAATTCCGAAGTCATTTTAACCGGCCCACTTAAAGATCCGTTAGAGCACAAGAATTATACAAAAGAATTAGTTTTAGATTTAATAAAAGAAAGGTCGGCCAAAGTTTTACAAAACACAAAAAACGAAGCGTGCAGCATTTACAAATTCTGCAAAAAAATCAAGGACTGCACAAGTGTGAAAGACTTCTACAGCAAAGTGCACACAGATTCATAATAAATGGACATTCATAGAATAATTTACAGATTAATAAAACAAAGACTTATTGTGCATATAAGCAATGAAGGAAAGACAAAAAATGCAGGACATTACAAAGGAAGTCATTCAAGAGATATTAAAGACGTATGAATTAATAACCAAGGAGTTGAAAGAAATAAAAAAGAGAATTAAAGTTCAGCCAGCTGATGAAGAGGAGGAGAGAAGCACGCGCTCAATACTAAATGAATTTTTTGCTGGCCTAGAAGGAAGTGAAAAATGCAAGAAGAAGCACTGAATGCGATACTCTTAAGCAGAACAAATAAGAAAGAGCTTGCAAGGATAAAGTCCCAGATTTTAATAAAAGAGAACCAGATAAAGGAATTGGCAGCTGAAATGGAAAAAGACCCGAATTCAGTAGAACTCTCGTTGTGTTATTTATTCCTAAAGAGAGAGACAGAAAGGCTTGTGAGAATTATAAAAATAAAAGAATTAGAAAGAAATAGACTACTTGAGTCATATGTACACGAGGATGCAGCGGGAGTAGCAGATAAGGCAGAGTTGAGTGGTGGCGGGGATATTTATCTTAAAAAGTTCAAAGAAATAACAAACAACTACTACAGCAACTTCCCATTCATAAATTTTATGCACCGAGATGTGCCGATAGAGTACTACGTGCATGTACTAGCAAAGAAAGAGTGCGGTGTAATAGAAATGGGTGGCAATCTAATAGAAACAAAAAAGGGGTCTTTATACTTTATAAGGAAGAGAGAGGTGGAATATCTTTTAAATAACGGGTCTATGGAGGTGGTAAAAAAATAATGCAGAAAAAGACAGAGCGCACGAGTGGACATGAGAAAAGAAAGAGCACATGTGAAGAGAGGAGTAAAAAGTGTAAAGAAGACAATTTAACTAAGAATAAAGGAAAAGACAGGACTAAGAGTACATTTAGTGTTTCAGATGAGAAAAGAAGAGAGATTAAGCGCAAGAATAAAGCCATGCCATCTGAGAAGTCTTTATTTATAGGAAAGACCGTGATTGTAAAATATTTAGGAAGGGAAATAAGAGGTGTCTGTGAAGAAATAGACACGTATTTAAATGTGGTAATACGCGGAGAAAAGAACATATACATTGTAAAGGGGAATGTTGTTGAACAAATAGAAGAAACACTGTGAGAGTGTGTTTTAAAGTATTTTATGGTGAAATATGTTTTAGCAATTGTTTTGGCAATGGAATGTACAACAGAAGAATTATTTCAGGTATTTTCTTCACTTATTGAAGACTTAAATAGAAAAGAAATTATCAAGTACAGGAGAAAGATGATTAATCTGTACATAAATTTAAGCATTGACAAGATATACAAAAAAGAAACAAGCCTTCCCATGCTTTATTCTTTAAGCATATGTATGTATTCTATTCTACATAGCGCCCTGGATAATGAGAAGGTGCTGAAGAGTGAAATAAGAGAGAAGCTTCAGGAAGAAGTGCTTGACTATGCAAGCAAAAGAGAAGTATTAAAGATACGTGCCATAATACTGGATATGTTTCAGGGAACGTATACAGAAAATTCGAATTATTCAGTCAAGCCAGAGCAATGGGCAATTAAAATTGTAGAGGATATTCGCATATTTATTGGAGAGAGAAAAAACAACCCAAAAGACAAGGAAGATGTATTTAAGGAGCCTAAAAGACTAATTCTAGAAAGAGTAGAAGACCTTCTTGCAGAAGAGATAAAAGAAGCTTTTTTAAGTAAGTCTAAGCCATTTGGCAAAAAGGGAAATCAGTTAATTATAAACATACTTTATATAAAAAAGTATCTTAATGGCTATGTAAAGACAGAATCAATGCAAAAATTAATAGAAACCGTGCAGGACAACTTTAAAGACCCGAAAGCAGTGGAAAGTAATCTTTCTGAATATATTTAACTATAAAACCACAACTGCCAATTACTCAAACTACCAAGTGTTCTTTAATAAGAGCATAGAACTGTTTATATAAAAACTTGTATGAACAACTACCTATATAAACCATAGAAGTTTAAAAATACTTATAATAGATAGCATAATATACAATAAATAAACAGAATATTTTCATAGCAATAACAACCCAGAATAGGCTATTTACGGTATATTTTATTTATTAACAAAATACTCAAAGTAAAATGCGGCTGGGCTTCAAGGAAATGCGTAATTCGGGATTTAATTAATTTTAAATTATAAATCCAAAATATTTTTTATTTTAATAATTCTAATGCGCATCCTTGACTTTGTTAAGCCATTTGTGCCATTCTTACCAGAAGTGCAGTCAAGTGACAGAAAAGTTCTATTCCAAGAGAAGCTTTTATGGACACTAATTGCAATACTTATTTACTTTGTAGCCTCGCAGATACCACTATTTGGTATTATGATAAATGATAAAGCCGATCCTGTTTATTGGCTTAGAGCAATGATGGCGGGTAACAGAGGAACCCTAATGGACTTGGGTCTAGGCCCCATTCTTATGACGAGTTCTATCATCCAGTTCCTTGGGTTTGTGGATCTTTTAAAAATAGATGAAAGCATAAAAGAGGATTCTCTTTTAATGGCCTCCCTCCAGAAACTACTGGCACTTATAATTACATTCAGTCAGGCATTAGTGCAGATTTCTACTGGGTTCTTTGGGGCCCCATCAAACTTGGGGCTATCTGCATGCATTCTTATTTTAGTACAACTGATGTTCTCTGGAGTAATAATCATTCTGTTAGATGAGCTGCTTCAGAAGGGATACGGTTTGGGCTCTGGTGTGAATCTATTTATTGTAGCAAATATCTGCGAGTCAATTGTGTGGAAAGCATTCAGCCCTTCAGTGTACAACACAGGAAAGGGCCCAGAGTTTGAGGGGTCTTTGATTAGTTTGCTTCAGCTGTTGAAAATACGCAGAAATAAGTTTGAGGCACTCTATGAAGCGTTCTTCAGAAAAAACTTTCCAAACATATCATGCCTACTCACAACAGTTGCAATGTTCTCTCTAGTTATATATTTGTACAATATACGTCTAGACTTACAGTTGGAGTCTACCCAAATGAAGACAAGATACATTAACTGGGGAATTAAGCTGTTCTATGTTTCTAGCACACCAATTATCATACAGAACCAGATACTCACAAACTACTACAGAATATCCAAGTTCCTCTTTGACAGATTCCCAACTAAGTGGTATACAAGAATTCTAGGTCTGTGGGACATAAATGAAAGTATGATATACGTGCCTGTTAAGGGAATAGCATACTTTATATCACCACCTGTTAATATTCTGGCCGCATTAAAGAACCCAATCCATTTCTTGATTTACACCTCGTTCATGCTGACCACATCTGGTCTTCTGGCATACTACTGGGTAGATATGAATGAAAGCTCACCCAAAGAGGTGGGGAAACAACTCCAGAAACAAAAACTGGTTGTGAAGGGATACTCTGTTCAGGGAACACAGGATATGTTAGATAGGTATATACCAATTGCAGCTGTGCTTTCTGGTTTAATTGTAGGAGGTATCAGTATAATGAGTGACTTGCTTGATACAATTGGGTCAGGACAAAACATCATATTGGCCGTGTCAATTATTGGGCAGTACTTTGAGTTATTTGTAAAAGAACAGATGAAATACAAAGGAATGCAGTAGAATAAATAAGGATTATATTGAATGCCATCTTTATTGCGAGAATATACAGTTATGAAAGACATCTAGCAGCTGTAATATATAGGTGTGGGGTGAAGGGCCAGTACTACATCCACGGCGACCAGCCAGGATATATTGCTGCCTGGTTAGATATGTCTACAGCCCTTTGCACGAGACACTGAATATGTGCTGTATTGCTTAGCACAAACCCATTTTCTATTCCATTTAGCTTATTTTTCATTCTTTCTTCAATGCTTTTGTAGTCTGAAAACAGCGTATTCTCCCGAGATATTTTTTGGATGACTCGCCACCTTTGAAGCGGCTCATTCTGCAGAATGGAAATAAAGACAAGAAGATTTTCTTTCGAGTTTTTCAGAGCACCGAGAAAAACTGCCATTGGCTTCTCATAGGAGTGAACTCCTTCAGCAATTATTGCTTGCTGGATGTTTTGGGTCATTCGGAAGGGAATTTTCTCAGAGATAGCCAGCGCCTTTCCCTGGTCGAAAATAAGGTTTAGATCTATATTTATCAGTTCTTTTGTTGCCATGTCCAATAGAATGTTTTGTGGGTGCCTATCCCCCAGGCCAAGAATATATGTTGCAATGGAAAGAATTGCAAAGGAGTTAGTGAACGCTTTTCTTCCTTTGAAGTATTCAAATGGCCCCCTTCCCTCAAAGACTCGCTTTAGGGCAGGAGAATACTCTGTATGCAGGCGTGAAAGTATTTTGGTTTTTACATCAATTGAAGCATTAATGCACTTCTGCATAATCTCTCTACACCTACTGCTGCTTATTTCCTGAGGAAAGTACTTTTTATGTAGGCCTTCAATCACAGTACCCACCGGCTCTGCCCCGTCTATAAATTCAATTATCCCAAAGAGTTTGTCTAGGGCAATTATTTTGTATGTTCTGATTCTTTCTTGAATGGACTGCGTGGCTGCTGTAGACTCTAAGACAGTGTTCATGTAGGAAAAGACTTGCATACTAAGAATATCTTGTTTTAGATCGTCATTCTTCTTAAGAATTTCTTTGTATGCAATGCCATCTGTTCCTACAATAGAAATTAAGATCGGCTTATTAATACCACTTAGCACTTTTGCAGTTCGATGTACTGCATGAATAAAAACAGGACTATTCTTCACTTCACGTGAAAGTATAGGGGTATTTACAGGAAATGCGCTGGTTAATGAAAGCCCCATTTGGCCTTGTTTATATATTGTCTTGTACTGTGATATAACTGACTCTGCGTGCGTTCTTACACATGCAGGAATTCGTATTTTTTTCTTTGCAGTTATCTCTCGTATAAGAACATCGTAAATAATGGAAAAGGGCGAGCTATCCATCAATCGGAAAATGATTTTGGACAGGTGCGAAAGTAAAGCAGGCTTATTCTGTGTGATTAATAAATGAAAATATTTTGAAATGATCTGTTGCTTTAGTGGAAGAAAAGAGTTTACTTGGATTCCTTCCAGTGAAATATTTTCAATTACCGATTCTGATGCATTTTCACAGAAAAGAAGATGGATAAGAGAGATTATATGCTGGAGTTTCCTGCTTTTTTCTGCTAGTTTAATGTACAGAGCTATCCCTATTTTGTAGGATGCTTCTTCTACCTCTGTCTGCTGCTTTGCTTTACAATCTTCTGTTTCTTTAATCGCCGCATGCTCCTTCTGAAGAATTGCACTTTGCACCCTTTGAGTACGTGCTATTTTATGCGCCTGTGGAGTGCTTATATTTCTATTGTAAATAGTCAGACATGTACCTGCAAGTGCCTCCAACACAAACAACTCATGCTGGCCGAAATATAATTTCTCTGCAGGTTTTACATATTTATTCAGAATGTCTATGGGGTGGCATTCGAACTCATTTAGAAGATATTCAATTCTTGCGCAGACTGCCTTAGAGAGAATGTATGTACATTGGCTTATCCTTGTATTTTGTTGATTATTTTGGCTAATAATAGCTTTGTCTTCATCTGTAATGATTGTTTCAAGCTCTGTTTTTAGCCCTGTTTCTATTTCTGTTAGTAAAAAGAGTGGATCCTTTAACGTATGTATGTTATGGCTAATTTTGAATAGTGAAAGAGCAGCAGAAAGATTTCTTTTTCTTTTTAGTTTTAGTCTATGCATAGTCTGTGACATAATTGTGTTCTGTGGTATTTCTATTTCTTTGGTGTTTCTTACATAATACGACTCAGCACTTATTTTAAACCATTTCTTCTCGAGGGCACATACCATGCTATGCATTCCACTCTTTGTAAGAGCACGGCAATTATTTAGAGCATCAATTGTTTTTTGTGGTTTGCGTGTGCATATATAGAGAATTTCTTCTATCTCATGTGCACCAACAAGAGGAGTGTCCACGTTAATCGCACTTAAAAATCTGAACCGCTGCTGTACTTTGTTAGACTGCAGAAAATTAATGTATGTTTCTGCGCCTGTGGATATAACGGTTCCTGTGAGAAGATATTCTATTTCAGCTGATTTATCTGCTGCTTCAGCCCAGCGAGTGAGTCTATCAGCCGCCCGCAGAATTTTATCAACCTCTAACACTTCAAATGATTTTCTGTCAGTTTCAGAATCTCTGGTTATGAATCCATCATCTCTGTGCCTGCCTAGATACATCTGGATTTCTTCATTTGTATTCTGTATTTCTATATTTATGTCCTGGTCCTGTAGGGAGAGGGGTTTTTCACTTTTAAGCATGTCTGGTATTCCATAGTATGGATATTCTATAGGAGTAGTCGCAGATGAAGCTGCATAGAAGAATATTTTTAAAAAGTCTCTGGATGATGTACACGGCACTGCATCAATCCCCTCTGTTTTCTTAACCTCGCATAGAAATAATAATACTCTCATTGTGGCAATGGGAAGTATTCCATTAAAATAATCACTTACAACAGAAGTTACATCTGAGTAGTTATAATGCGTTGTAAAGAATGCATTCTGGTACTGAGCAAGAATGAGTTTCTCCTTTTCCATAGAAAGCGCGCCTGTCTTTCGTAGAACCAAAGAAGAGTTCTCTGTTAGAGCTTCTTTCTTTTTACTTCCAAATTCTTTTTTTGAGTATATTTCAATCTGTTCTGGTAACAGTATTTGATGTGGGACCTCAAAGAACCCCGCCTGCATAAAATTCTTTTGTGCATTTTTTACTGTGCAGTAGGCTGAAAAGAATGTTTTCTTGGTGCACAGCCTAACTAACTCTCTAAATAGATCCAGATCATACACATACAAGTATTCTAGTGCATGCACCAAAGCATACTTCTCCAAGGATGTCACTTCTTTATCACATTCTAGCACCTGTGTTAGTACGAAAAATATAAAATACTTTTCGGGATATATTGAGCACATCACACCACTTGCCAAATATACACAAGCATTGTCCATTAGCACAGAGTTCTTATCTGGGGACGGTTTTATCCGTAATTCTTCATCGTAATATATTTCTGCTATTTCTCTTATTTTAGAAGTACTTCCCCTGGCAAGAAGATAGCTGTGCTCATACAGTGTATATGACAGGTTTTTTTGAGTAAAGTATTCTTTTATACAGTGCTGTTCTGCTGGGGCAAGTGTGTTTACTTCCTGAAACAATTTTTCTTTCATGCGTATTAACTCAGCCGGTGATATGCTATCTATTTCATCTGTATTGTTATATAATTGTAAGGTGTTCACTGCATTAATAACTGCTTTTGTACTTTTCATACATTTTTCTACCTTTTCTGCTATTCTTTTTGTTTTTATAAAAGTAAAAGCCTTCAGAAAATTGTGAATAGGAGAGAGTGTACGCTTTCTGTTTTTTTCAGATAAATAATTTAAAATATTATTAGAAATATCTGGATCTTGCGTATATACACTAAGTGCCAATAAACCATTAATTACAGTACTCCTTTCTTCTTCTGTTACACTAACAGCTTCTTCCAATACCTCCATTGAAAGCTCTATAATTCTTTTTTCTCTGGGTATAGAATGTCTTTTGCATATTTTTTGTGATATACTGGGGGATCTAATTATGACCTGTAGGTGGAACTCTTCTGTTAAAATATCTGATATACCATAAATATCCTCTAATACACATTCTAGAAACAACAGCCAGATAACTCTTTTTTGAGAATTATCATTGTCAAAGAGGCTTTTCAATGCATTTACTCTATTTGAGCTGAATTCTAAAATAGGAAATGTACGAACGCACTCAGGATATGCAAAGTATTCAGAAACATCTAAGTCTCTTAGTGCTTGATTGCTTTTCACGGGTATATTGATCTGTGGATAGACTTTCTCCAATACCACTGCTAGTGAATTAATAGTCTTAGCAGATTCATTAAGATAGGATTTTAACTCTAAAATATCCCCTTCAACAATTAGCGATAAAATACTTCTGTTTTCAACTCTAATTGATTTAAAGCATCTTCCAAGTGCACATAGACCACATACTTTTTGATTATCATATTTCAGACTATCGCGTTTTTTCATTATACCTGTTCTTTTTATATGTTCTGAATTAGTAGCTGTACTGCCTGCTTGGAACTCTTTTATAGTCAGAAAATTGATTGTCTCTCTAAGTCTATTATCTACACTATTTCCTCTACCGGATAAATTCTCTTTCTTTCTTTTAAATTTTGCCTTTCTAGTACTTCTGTTTGTTTTTGATGTATTTCCACACTTAGCACACGAAGGAAATTCATTTTTCTTTTTTTTTAAACACTTCCACTCTGCACTGTGCTTAGTTAATAAATAGAAATACTCAATTAGCAATAAGTCAGATTTTAACTGGTCTTTATGCTGAAATAATCCCGAAATTCTCTGAGAGGAAATATTATACAGCGCACTTGGGTGTACAACACATACACAGTAAATATAAAATATATCTTCAATACTTCTTCTTTTCAGTGCTTCATTAAGCAAAGCATAATCTATTCTTCTGTAGAGTAAAACAATCACGGATGAAAGACTCGTCCAGTCTTCTGCACATAATTTTACATTTAAGTCCATTTCTCTTCCAATGTATAAAAGTGTTCCCAGTGTGCATACACTGCTTAACTGGTTAAATACAGATTTGGCATTGCTCAGTGTAAATTTATGATTAAACTGCTCTGATTTTGCCAGTACACACATAAATTGTTCTATAACAGATTTATCTCCTTCTTTACTGTGATATTTTCCTATAAATAACAACTGTATAAGATATATAAAATGCTCATCGTATTTACACATCGTAACTTTTAATATATCCACTTTACTGAATATGTCTATAAAATAAGAAATGTTCACTCTTCCCACATAAAGGCTGTACATAATAATAATAGAACACCAAGAAGAATTTTCATTTTTTAAAATTTCTAATAAAAACAAAAGTGTTCTTTCTGAATATTTCTCAATTAATTCAGTTATTATGCACAACCAGATATTTTTATGGACTATTTTCTGGTCTATACTGTATATTATTTCAACTGTACTTAAAATTAAATTATACTCTGTGCTGTTAGTTGAATTAATGCTTAACAGCAATGGATCAATTAAATACATAATTAATTCCTGTTTAATGTCTACACTATCTTCATTATTTTCTAGTTCTTTTATATTTATACAGATTTGATTAATCAGATGAATAACATAATTATTCTGTAACTTTCCATGTTTTTTACAATAGCCGTACATAATTTTTTCTAATACCTTTCCTAATTGACAAAAATTAAATTTATGAAGAATTTCTCTCCACTCATTCATTATGCTATTATTCATTAGTGACTCCTTTCTTCTTATTTTTTGGTTATTTCTTGGTTTATTATTTATTGTGGCTTCACCCTCTTTTGCATTTACTCTATTAATAACCTTACAGTACTCCTCGTATACATTTTCATATAACCCAAAACTACTATTTATATCCAATCTACTGAGTATTTCCTTAAGAATATTTATAATAAGAAATAATGAAGTCTCCTGAGTATTCCTTCTTAATGCACAGAGTATTTCCTCTTCTACAGTAAGTATTACCATACAATAGAAAATACAATTTATAATTTAAATACCAATGTATCTTTAACATATTACACATCATTTTAAGAGTCCATCTATAATTCTATAATTAATGTAATAAATATGCACATAAATCATTAGATAGAATGGCAATTTCATGGATAATTTAAAGAATATTCCTGTTACAATTCTGTATTTATAACCCTATTAATGGATTGCAGTAGTATAAAATATTCTGTATTTTATGTAGAATATTTTTATTTTATTTACAGACCAGATGAGTGAAACAGGCACTAAGAAGACTCTTCCCTCAGAAAAAAGAAAGGAAAAATTTCACAGTCTTTTTAAGTCTATCCCGAAAAATGAAGAGTTAAAGCACTCATGTCCTTCACTTCTTAAGAATAATTCAAAATATTTTCAAGGCCGTCTTTATATAAGCACAGAGCACTTGTCATTCTATTCTAAAAATATTTTTGGAAACACAACAATAATCCTGAAGTTAAAGACAATTCTTGGGGTAGAGCTTAAAAAATCACTTTTTTTAACGGGTTCATTAGAAATAACGACTTACGACAAAACATACAGTTTCAAGTCATTATTTTACAAGGAAGAGCTGTATCCAATAATACTCCATCAGTGGCAGCGAGTTATTGGTGTGCTTGGGCCCAAAAACAGCACAAATTATGGGTACAACAGCATTTTTAAAATAAACATACCGAGACCGCATGAAGTGGTTGAAGAAAGCAGTGTTTCTAAGGAGGAAAGAGTATTTGATATAAATATGCGCATGTTGCTTAGAAGGATGGTTAATACTGGAATAACCAGAAAATTCTACTCTACGCTGACTAATGATACTATATTCATCAACACGTATATTAATAGAAGAACAATTCAATTTTATAATGAATATATTGATGAAATATATTCTGTGACTGGGAACACGTTAGATATAGAGTATCATTCAAAAGGGACACTTTGTAGGATAAGGATTACCCCAGAGAATAAACACCAAGTGAGAGTAAGAATAGTTGAGAAGTATAACTATACTACAATTCATTATTATAAATACATAGAATTATTGTGCAATGACCAGAAGAGTTATATAACTGACAGATTACTTATTGGCACTGTATTTACTGGTATATTTTTTAGACTTATTAAGGCACTCTGTCAGTTAATTAGATTAATTAAAAAATAATATAGAAATACTTTTGTTAATCATATAAATAGCATGAAATACATTGCAGGGGTCGTTATTATAATTTTATATCCGGAAATTATATTTTTGCAGTGAATTATTGTATGAATATAATATTCACACTTTTTGTATATATACACCGTTAACAAATATATATCATACTTTGGGATTATTGAATTTTTAAATGTATGGGGTACTATCAGACTAAATCCTATATTTTTCATTTCCTATGAGAATTCTCAGAATTTACTGTACGCATACTAACCATCTATGAAACAGCCCCTAAATAAACAGCAAAGTATGCAGAATATAGCATAAAAAGCTCTGTCAAAAAATGTGTTAATTCTGTTGGCAAACACAGTCAATTCTGTATAAGTTGTAGGAGCATATGTCACTCTCAAATGTATTTTTGTAGAATAAGTTGGATTCTCTGGTTTTTACGATTGCCTGCCGTGTAATTAAATTTTTGTTAAATAGAATATTTTATTCTTATAGAAGATTTCTGTTCTATGGCAATTTCAGTTTTTTGGCTATTATATGATATACTCATATATGTAGTTAATTTCACTGGTGTAGTTGTATAAAACAAATCGATTCGAGTTTATGCATTCTGGGACTAAGCACTTCATACTTACACTTGCTTTGGATAGTTTTTGTGATACCTTTTTTCGGATAAGCAGCTCTTTCGCGACTTTTACAACCGTGTAGGGATTAGTTATGAAAGACTTACCCATTTCAATTAAAGAAGTGTTTTTTTGTGGCTTCGCGTGTTCTACGCACTCAATGCATATATAATGACCGCATGTCAGAACCATAAAGTAGTTTTCATACCTGGTGGGGTTAGATGCTATTTTGGTTTTCGTGGAAGAATTCAGATTATTGGCTGGTTGCCATTTAGAGAAGCCAGTTATGCACTTCGGACTGGTGCATTTTTTATTGTTATTAACAAATCTTTTCAATACATTGCGGTCATTTTTTTCTTGTCTTTTTAATTCAATGTACTTTATATTCTCTTCTGGAATGAATGTTGGCTGTGGAAGGGCATTTAGTCTACTGATGGGGGAAAGCACTGGATTATATATTATTGGAAGGGTTGCCCACTGGCTAAAATAGCGTACATCCACTGCATGCAGAATATAATTAGGTGTTGCGCTCATAGATACCCACGTATCATCTTCTTTGCACAATGAAAGTACATTATAATTAAGTCCTTTAGAAAAGTATCCTTGACTCGCACCGCTATTGAATATTATGTCTGCTTCTAAATTTTCAAATGAAAATAATTGCAAACTTGGAAGTTCCTTCAAAAATGAAATGTCAATGTATTTTTGCTTTATCCGAGAACTGAATATCACTGAAAGAATCTCTATATTCTCATACCTACTTGTAATTGCCTTTATAAGATTTGTTATAGATTCAGTATTTGCTGTGCTATTAGAAAACACTTCAATCGTAAGAATCTCTGTGCCCAAGGATTTAGGAAGAATTATTCTTACCTCATCTGATGCCTTTTCTATTGTATCTGAGAATATCTGCACTTTTATTCTAGATGTGTTTTGACAAAGATCTTTTTTAGTTATATTAAATACTTCAGTGGCAATTCTTATATATAGTGTGTCGGAAGAGTCTATTCCACCTCCGTATGCACGTATATCTTGCTTGTTGTTCATGAAAAGAGTCGAATTATACCCAATCTGTTCAAATATATGCGCATCAAGAGAAATTGTCTCCACATTCAACAGCTCATACAGAAAGAACTGTGTAGATACTCTTATTCGTGGATTTATCCCAATAAGAAGCAACTCCTGTAAATTTGGTGTGATTTTTGAGAATGGTGGCTCAAAGTACATTAATGCAGGCTCATTTCTTAAATGAAAGGATTCCAGACCGGAAAGACGTGTTTCTATTTCGGGAGACTCCAAAAAATCAAGAGAGAGTAAGCTGTTATTAGAAAGTGACACTTCTTTAAATGAATTTAACAGTTTTAGAAGTGTAACAACTACACATTCAGACTCGCCTTCAATGTGCAGGATAATTTCATTATTTATACTCTTATCCATTTCAGATAAAAATAGATCCGTATAATTAGGAACATCCATGTACATATCTATTTGCTTTTTAAGCTGGCAGTTGATAAAGGAAAAACTACTAATATAATTAAACCGCTTCAACATCATTATGAAGGTCTCTAAAAAGCGCTGCTTTATAACATCTCCTAAAAGAGTGCAGTGTATGAATGAAAGTGCAGTTAATGAATGGTTATTCACATAAAGACAGTTTAACAACTTTTTTTCTAGGTCAATCCCAGAAAAAGTAAGTTTTTTGATCCGGGTTAATCCTAGATTTTTAAATAGAGTTTCTAGGTTTTTGTGGATTTTGGCTTTTTCTGTATCTGTCTGTTCACTTGACTGATCATTATCATGACCAATGCTTTGGGCTGTATTTGGCTGTTCATCTGGCTGTGTACTGCCTCCGCTGGTTATAACTGACTGTCTTTCTAGCTGGATGTGTAAATGAGATGCGTCTTTTAATATGGGTAAGTTATTTAGAATTATATTTATGCTTGGCCTGTCAATGCACAGATTAATCACTGAAAGAGCAGATATTTTGTTTATCCAGTCTTCATCCTCGTATATTTCTATTATTTTATCAATAGCAGTGTTTTTATACGACAGTTCGTGTATGAATTCCATGTATACAGGATTGTTTATAGACAGAGTATTCACACGAAGATCTTCTTGTGGATTTGTAGTTGCTCCATTATAGGAGAATGGATTAATCCAAGATAAAATACCAGATGTACGCACTGTGCTCAGATATATCAAACAAATTATAAATAATGTACTATTGTGTATGAATGGCCTATGCATCATGATATCTACCAATCCAGCACATATGTAAACATCTTTATTTCTGAGTGACCAATCAGAGCATAAATAAAGTATCCAATAAATATATACTCCAATAAGTATGACCCGAAATGCACCTGTAAACCATGCTAAGAATAGGCTTGTACTCAGAAACATGGAGATACACACAAGAAAAAAGACCAAAATATTGGGGATTGTATATGAGTATGTATATTTTAGTAGTTATATCGACTATTTCCTTATATGCACAAGCCAATAATGTTTTTACTTTAAAGGAATACAATTGGCAAGTTTGTACACAAGAGAGTGAATTTGTAATTATCTCTTCTATGGACAGAAGTGTTCTGGAGTATAATCTTAATAGTGCAATTTGCATACGAGTCACTACAAGAGCAGAGAAGCTGGATACTCTCGCCCCTTCATGTATAGAGTTAGATGAATTTCTTTCCCGATGGCTGCTCAGAGTAAATGAAGTTATAATAAAACGGCCAGAGCTTATCACTAACCAGCTAATAACAATACTTACACGCATTCCATCACTGGAAACTGTATGCATGGCTATTAATAAACAGGAAAACTATACAATTACTGCCTGCCTTTCTAACCTGACAAAATGCTATGGACTTAAAACACTTATTCTGGATATGAATTATGTCACACTATCACAGGACATTACTTTAACCCTTCCAAAAACAAAAACGTTTTTCTTCAGGAATTACTTCTTCAACATGGGCCTATCCCTACTTGATATGGAATCTGCAGAAGAAATCTCCATAAGTGCCGAAAGAGTAAGCAATCTGAGAATAGATTATTCTTCAATAACGCTAGTACCAGGCACACTGCGCTTAGTTATATATACAAATTACATGGGAAGTATTCCTCTGGTTGTAATATGCAATCCAAATATATATTTAGAGGTGATATATTTGAGTAAAACCCCATTCTCAGCACAGAATAACACTGTGATCAACTCATTTGATGGTATTCTTCCTGGGTACAGTGCATACATAAACAAAGTTTTTTCATACTTAGTCATACAGAAGGAGCAAGTTGTATTCTGCTGTTATAAACCATTCAAAAAATGGAGTATACTTCTCAAGCACATATCAACCACACACATATGCAATAATGTCACTATTATCACATACAATGCACTAAACCAGAAAAGCACTCTTTCCATCCCCGGCAGGAACCAGTGCATATCTGAAATGTGCATACTCACTCCACAAGAAGAAGATCAAATAACAGAATTTCTTCAATTAGTGACTATTATTAATTTAGAAATATTTGTGAATGGCGCATGCATACGGCTATTAAAAGAGAACTTTCCGAAAGAGAAGAGAAACTGGACGAACTTCCTCAGGCTAATCCACACACTTTCTTTTTCAGACTTACAAGGCAGGCATGAAATTCCTTTTTGCTTTTATAAGTTATACAGACTCAGATCACTCAGTGTGTATAACAGTCAAATACCAAACCTTCTAGAAGTACTTGTCTCTATGCCAGGCCTCAGAGTGATTATTGTAGAGAACTGTATATTTAATCATGCAAACACATACGTACTCCATCAGTACATTACTAGATCGGTCTAAAACCATCAGGATGTTCAATAATAACAGTACGGCCGAGGAGAGAGGTAAAAACATAGGTGTAATGGTTATGTGCTTTACAGTTTTATCAATATTTATTATTTTATCTATTTTTTCCATATTCTACCAGCGTAAGCATAGACTAATCATTTAATTCACAAATAATAACGGGTTATAACGGGTTATTACTTTAAAATTTATTCATCAATTCACTGTGTATTACTTATTACACATTCTACATTACTTATTGCACATTGTATAATAAGTTATATATATTTTATAGTACATTATGTAATATATATTGTATACATATGCTACATAGTGTATTATAAAATATATTAATTAGTCTATTTATATCTATTAGTATAATAATAAAATATATTACACATTCTACAATAAGTTATATATATTTTATTACACATTGTATAATAAGTTATATTACAATATTTTTTTATTTTTGTATTTTATGTATAAGTATATAGCATAGACTAATTACAACAGAAAATTAGTCTATATTACAACAGAAAGTATAAATAATTCATAAATATTTTAAATATAAAAATATTGTAATATAATTTTGTATACAATGTGTAATATATTTTAATTTCTTAATAAATTGTATATTACTGGTATATACAGTATTAATAGAGATACAATAATACACACAATCATCATAAACACTTTCAAACATAATAATTTCGGATCTGTGCTATCTTCTGTTGTATTTATACTATCGTCTGGTCTATCTTCTGGTATATTTATACCATTTTCTGTTGTATTTAGTGTGTATGCACTGTATTCTGTTGTATTTGATATATTTGGTCTATCTTCTGGTATATTTATATCATTTTCTGTTGTATTTGATATATTTGGTCTATCTTCTGTTGTATTTGGTCTATTTATACTATTTTCTGTTGTATTTGGTCTATTTTCTGTTGTATTTGATATATTTGGTCTATTTTCTGTTGTATTTAGTGTGTATACGCTGTATTCTGTTGTATTTGGTCTATCTATACCATCTTCTGTTGTATTTGGTCTATTTGGTGTATTTAAATTATTCTCATCTAATATAATACAGTTATCTATAATTAGTCTAGTTATATTTGCATTGCCTTCCATTTTTATTTTTTATTTATTAAAATTTTTATATTTAAATTTATTTATCACACATTGTGTATTTATTTCTCTCTCTCTCTTTCCAATTATTCCTTATTTCTAGTGTATTCCTGGCCAATTCTTTATATGTTATATTCTCATATACAGTATTTACTATATTTAGTACAGTTTTATACGCATTTGGTAATAATTTATCAGTACGTATACGCAATAAGGACCAATTCCCTTTTATTTGCGTATATTCTGTGTCTAATGCATATTCTTTAGGGTTATAACAGAATTCTCCTATTAATCCATCTATTTCCTGATCATTACTTATCTTATAATGATTATTTACGTTATAACAGAATATATCATAAAATATTTCATTACCGTTATGTAGTACAAATAACTTATAAAAAATATCTGAAAGTTTCCTTATACGGAAATCAACTGAATTTAAATGTGGTGGTTTCCATTTTAGGAAATATTGGCAAGTACCTGGAATATAAGGATAATTTACACATGTAAATATTAGTCCGTCATTCTCATGGGATAATTTTGGTATTATTTCTGAGAATATTTCACTTATACCATAGCTCTTATGCATTCTCTTTAATAATACAGTTAGTTCAACCGGGTTATTATTTTTACTTATTTTATCTTGGTGATCTTCTTTCTCCCTGAACTCATCTATTTTTTTATCATTTTTTTCTATTTTTTGTCTTTTCTGATTTTCTCTCTCCCTTCTTCTCTCTTCACTTATTTGTAAAAATTTCATTGCCATGGTTAATCTTTCATTTAAATTATGCTTACAGATACTTTTACTGTTAAATATTGCCATATCAAATATAATATACTGGAAATTACCCGATTTGTCTTGGATTACTTCTCCATCCATTAAATATCTCCCTTTTACTTGTATATCATTGTTTATAACACAATTACTTATAAATATTTCATTATTTCTGGTTATAAAGTATATTTCTACTGCACTAGTAATATATTTATAGTATAGTAGTGCTCTTAGTCCATCACTCTTCTCACATACATAATAATCCATTGATTTAATTAAATTTAATGATTCTTTAGTTAAAGAGACTGGCTGTGGCCCATAGAATCCATTATATTTAAAGTTACAGATGGATTTAATCTCATTTAGTATAGAATTAGTCATATCTTGTGGCAGAATAGTACCAAGTGTAAGCATATCCACATCCATAAAAAAAATAATATAATAGAATTTATAAATAATAGTAGAATAAATAATAAATAGCATACAATATGTAATAAGTAGTATACAATGTGTAATAAATAATAGTAGAATAAATAATAAATAGTATACAATATGTAATAAATGATAGTATATGTGTAATAAGTTATACCATGGCATATTATTTTATACACTATGTGTAATAAGTTATATAGCTTAATATGCTTATTATATAGTATGTATAGTGCAGTATATTTATTATATAGTATATATAGTGCAGTAAATAATATGCATATACTAACCAATTATATTACACATATTTTATCCAATTATATTACACAATGAACAACAAGTACTTTATTTTTTATACATATACTTTAAATTTCTGAATACTTTAGGATGGGAGTTGTTGTTAGTGTGCCAGAAGTAAGCATAGGAATAAAAATTGTTAATAAAAAAAAAGAAGAAGTCAAAACAAACAAAAATATTTTATACCTGTATTTATGTAAGAGCAATATCATAAATATCAACAGAAATATAAAATATTTAAGAAAAATCAAAATTTTACAAATTTGTTGCAATAAAATAACGGAAATTCCACCTGAAATAAAAGAATTAAAGGATTTAAGTATCCTTTATTTATGTAAAAACAGGATAACTTCTGTTCCATCAGAAATAAAAGAGTTAAAACTCTTACAGGAATTAAATTTAGCAGATAATCAAATAACGGAATTACCTGAATCTGTAAAATTTTTAAATTTAAAAGTAATTGATGTTTCAGGTAATTTATTTGAAGAATTTCCAACTGTCATAACGGAAATTAAATCATTACAGAGTATTACTATACTAAGGAGTAATATAAAGTATGCATCACCCAGGATATTAGAACTGCCTTATTTAGTTGATTTTAATTTCTCTTCTCCTGAGAGTATAACTGCTGTTATTAAACCTGAATTATCGTTATGCAATATTATAACGGAATATTTAGTTAATTATAACGGAAATATAAAAAAATATCTTCCTTTTTCGGTATTAAAAAATATTTTTATGGTAAAAACCTGTTATATTTGTAATAAATTTTGTTTTACATACAAAATATACACAAATATAACGGTTTTTAATAAAAGAGTGCCTGTACAGTACGATATTTGTCACAAGCACACTGTAAAAATGGAAGATGTTCAGGAAAGCATTAAGGAATTACTTTTTTCAGAGGAAATTCAGTTAAATATTCCTAAAAAGGAAATAAAAACAAGAAAAGCCCTGAAAAATCCAGAAAATGTCATAAAAATATCTGAAATCAGGAAATATTTACAGAATAATCAAATACACATCAAGAATTATAAGTAAATTCAACTAAGTAATTTTAAAGTACTATTATAATTTATATTCTGTTGTAATACAGACTAATTATTATATATTTTATTTTTATTTTTATTTTTATTTTTTATGCATAATTTTATTTTGTACACATTGTTTTATAATTAAACTGTACTTTTATTTTTTACACATTATGTATTATATTTTGGTTTATTTTCTGTTGTATTTAATGGATTAATCCGTCCATTATATATTACACCTCCTGGTCTTGGTATATTATACGGATACCTCTTCTTATTATAACTCTCTTTTGCTAGTTCTTTTGATATCTTCATTTGCTTAATATTTAATGCTTTCATTTCTCTATCTAACTCCTTTATTCTCTTTCTTATTATATCCTGTTGTTTCTGGTAGTCTCTTCTCTCTTCCGCCTCTTTAAAATTTTTATCTTGTATTTCTTTCCTTTTCCTTTTAATTTTATTATTTGTATACTTAGTACTCATTGTGCATAAATTATTAGATTGATTATTACTTTTTACTGGTTGTGTAATATATCTTGGTATTTTTGAGCCACATTCTTTACATTGTTTATTACTCAATGTGTTATATTTAATATAATCTGTACATTGTACAATAAGTAATAGGCTTAAATATATTATTAAGTATAATTTGTTCATAAAATATTTATTGCAGATTGTATAATAAATAATTAAAATATATGATACAATGTGTGATAAATAATATATTTATCATATATGATGTATTAAGTTTTATTAATTAATACATAGTGTGTAATATATTATACAATGTAATACATGAGTACATTAAATTAAAATAATTTATTCATTACATATTATACACTGTATACTAAGTAATAATTAATGCACACTGTGTATTATATTGTATACTTATTACTGTGTACTATTTATTATGCATTGTGTATTAAGTAATAATTAGTACCTATTGTATACTATTTATTATACACTGTGTACTATTTATTATGCATTGTGTATTATATTATGTACTTATTATGCATTGTGTATTATATTGTATATGATATAAATTTTTATTTTATTTCCTAATATAGTAATTAATTTACCATTCGTTATTTTCCCATCCCTTTTCTTTTTCTTTATGATTTTCTGTGGGTGTACATTCGCCTGAGAACCTTTTCTTCTCATTCTCTATAAATTCTGTCCAAGTTTTGTTTCTTTTCTCCTTTCTCCCTAACCAGGCACGCTCTTTCTCTTCTTTTTTCATTTTTTTCTGATCCTTGATGGTGCTTTTGAAAATACTCCATTTTTTATTGCAAAAATTTTCATCTAAGTAATTTATAACGTATTTTATAACAGATATCCTTTCTTGGTCTATTTTTTTAATTAAAACCGTTAATATCTCTTGAATACCACTTATATCTATCCTATTTATATGTATAAATACTAAATATACACCGATTTTATACTTTTCACTTAATAATAACGGAATTATTAATTTGAAAATATTTTGTATTTCTATTAATATGCTACTGTACTTATAAATATATTCTATTCTTATTAAGGATATATTACTTATTAAAATATTTATGAAAATTACCTTATTTGGAGATGACAAAACGGGTAATCCATAAAAAAATAATTCTAATATTTCAGGTGTTATTTGTGATTTTGATAAAATTAAAAATAGTTCATTTATATCTGTAATCGATAAATTATACAAATGCACTGTAAAGTACTTAATTAAGACGTATGCTGGCTTATTCCTTATTAGAATAGAAGGAGAACTCGGTGACAACAAGAATATTATACTGATTATATCAGAAATATCCGGGTTACTCGGGTTATTGCCTGATTTTTTTGTATTTAAATTTTTATTTGGCGAAGTATTTCCTTTTTTAGAAATAACGGTATTTAACGGCTTTTCCTTATTAGGAATATTTTTATTTTTTCTATTTTTATTTCTCACATTAATACACATAGGACATACAATCATCTCACTCTCTAATAATACAGTATTACTATCCTGATGTACACCACCAGATACTTTATCAGTGTCTTTAATATTTTTACTGTTAAGATATCCTGATGGGTGACCTTTTTCTTTATTCTTACTTACAGAATTTCCATTTTTTATGGTTTTAATAAACTTACTGAATATACCAGAACTTCCTTTGCTAATATTTTTGTTTTTTTCGATATCAAAATCTTCGTTATTTTTTTTAAAAATTTTACTGAATATAAATAATATTTCATCATGTGATAAATTTCCTAATTTATATTCTTTGTCTAATATATTACACATTGTGTTATTAATTCTTTCTATATTATTACCTATAACTTTGTCTACTATGTAGTATAAGTCTTTGTCTCTTACACTTTCTATTTCATCTAGTAGTTTTTTTATAACGGACATACAATAATACTCAGGTAATGTGTTTTTATTATATAATAATATAATATACAATGTGTAATATATTCTGTTGTGTAATAAATAATTAATTACTGTTATAATATTAATAGAATTACTTATTACACAATGATCAGTAAATACTGGAAATATCATCAACTTTGTGTTATAATTTATATCATAGAATATATCAGAAGGTTTAATAAATAATTCATTACTTATTACACAATTATCATTATATTTACAATTATTACACAATGACCATAAAGAAATAGACTTATTACTAAGTAAATATTCCCAGCCCTTATTAATATTATTTACACTATGCGTATTATATTCTGTATTATTATTACACACTGTACTATAATTATTACTTTTTACACTATGCGTATTATATTCTGTATTATTATTACACACTGTATCATAATTATTCATATATAAATTACCATCCTTTATATTATACATTGATACTAATATTATATTGTTATTATTTAATAGCGTACTATTAATTGTACTTATAATACTATTTATATACTCAGTAAATATATCATTATTATTTACACTATGTGTACTATTTAATGTATTATTATTACACACTGTGTTATAATTATTATTTATTACACTATGTGTACTATTTTTATATGGATATATTCTCTCTGTTACAATATATTTACTACTATACTCATAAAGTCTTGGTAGTATATCTAATGTATCAATATATCTTAATAATGGGTATATCTTATCTGTATTACACTTATACTTAAATATAGTACACTCCTTATTATTATAATAACCAGAATATACTGTACATATATCATTACTAAGTAATTCTTTATCGTACACTAAAGTACTTCCTATACTCTGAATACTACGTATAATATTCATAAAAAAAATAAAACAAGAATTATTACTAATACAGTAATAAATAATATATAATACACATAGTATAATAAATAGTATAATATAATACACATAGTATAATATATAATAGACTAATAGACCAATAGAATATAATAGACATAGAGTAATAAATAATATATAATAGTAATAGAGTAATAAATAATATAACTTATTACACATTTATTATAACTTATTACACACTGTATACAATATAATAACTTATTACACTATATATACTAATTATTACTTCTTACACTATGTGTACTAATTACTATATAACTTATTACACTATATACTATAACTTATTACACATATATTACTTATTATACTATATGTACTAATTATTACTTATTACACATATACTATAACTTATTACACTATATATACTAATTATTACACATATACTATAACTTATTATTTATTATACTATGTGTACTATATATTATTTATTATACTATGTGTATTATGTATTATTTATTATGCATTTGTTAATTTATTTTATTATTTATTGTGTATTGTGTATTATATTCTGTTTATATTTATATTGTAAATTTCTTTTGTGTATGAAGACAGCAAAGAGAGAAGTCCTCCCAAAGTATAAAATAGTGTTCCTGGGTGATACAGCAGTGGGTAAGACCACTTTAATCACTAAATACGTATTCAGCACAGAAACAAAAGATTACCACCCTACAATCGGAGTGGATTTCTTTGCACAGAAGACAGAAATCGCTGGTAAGACAGTAAACCTACAGTTATGGGACACAGCAGGCCAAGAAAGGTTCAGATCCCTTATACCTAATTATACAAGAGACTCTTTCATGGCTGTAATTATGTTTGACCTGACTAGAATCGATACTTTCAACAGGATTGATGGCTGGATCACTGACTTCGTACTAAAAAATAATTCCAATAACTTAAATATTTTAATTATAGGTAATAAACTGGACTTATTGGAAAATAGGAATAATGCACCGAGTGAAGAGGAGATCCAGGAGAAGGTGAAGAAGTATAATGCCAGGTATATTGAGACATGTTCAATTACAACAGAAGGGATAAGTAAATTAGTAGAGGAGATAAGTGAGACCATAAAGAATTCAACAGAACCAGAGCAGAACATACCGGAGTTCACCATAGAGACAGATAATAGTAAGAGATGTTTATGCTTATAATATAATACATAATATATAATAAATAATATATAGTACACGTACTGTAAGAAGTTATAGTAAATAATAGTAATAGTGTAATAAATAACAATTAGTACACATAGTGTAATAAGTTATAGTAAGTTATAGTACACATAGTGTAATAAGTTATAGTAAGTTGTAATAAGTTATAATAAGTTGTAATAAATAATAGTATTTGTGTAATAAGTTATAGTAAGTTATAGTAATTAGTACACATAGTGTAATAAGTTATGGTAAGTTATATAGCAATTAGTACACAATGTGTAATAAGTTATATAGTAATTAGTACACATAGTGTAAGAAGTTATAGTACAATGTATAATAAGTTATAGTATGTTATGTATTATTTATTATATACTGTGTAAGAAGTTATAGTATGTTATGTATTATTATTTATATACTGTGTAATAAGTTATAGTATATTATGTATTATTATTTATATACTGTGTAATAAGTTATAGTATGTTATGTATTATTATTTATATACTGTGTAATAAGTTATAGTATATTATGTATTATTATTTATATACTGTGTAATAAGTTATAGTATATTATGTATTATTTATTATATACTGTGTAATAAGTTATAGTATATTATGTATTATTATTTATTACTATATGTGTATTATATATTATTATTCAATATTTGTGTTATAAATAATATTCGTGTTTTCTAATGTGTACGCTGCAGTGGCTGTTATTACAGATGTTGTTATAATAGAAAAAGTGCTCCCTCTTGAACCAAGACTTCCTGCTATTAGACCAGAAAGTATTGGTCTATAAGCTTGGTTTATGTTGTACTTAGATACTAAATTGTCCATTATAGCGTATGTTCCTCCTATTATCATGGTATCAGTTACTTTCTGTGATATAGAACTGTTCCTGTTGATTCCCTTGGATATAATTCCTACTGTTAGGCCAATCACTGACCCTGTCACTGCCCCAAGGACTACTCGGCTCAGTAATTCTCTTTTTTTGTTCCTTTCTGCGTGCATAAATATAAATTATAATAAAATATTTTATATTTATAGTTAGGGTTATATCGGGTTATATTGATTATCACACATAGTATAATATATTACACATAGTATAATATATAATATAAATATAGTACAATAAAATTTTTTATGGCTAGTAGTAAAAGTAAGAAAATACGCCCATTACTTTTTACTGTTTTAGTAATAATTAATTTACTTATAACACAATCAGCATTATTTAATAATTATATTAAAACTAATTATACAATGATCATAAAGTACTTTACAGCTGTATTATCAGTCTCATATAATTATGTCTTATGTATTAGTAGATTATTACGTACATCACCACGTGCAGTGCCAGAACTGTTCAATAGTTACACTGAAACCATCACACACATAACAAAAGAATATTACAGTATTATTATAAGCTTATACCATGAACATTCACAAATATTATTACATAATGCATAATAAATAACATATAATACACATAGTATAATAAATAATCATAACATATTATAATTTAGTATACTATGTGTAATATATTATGATTAATCAAATATAAAAAGTACATATTAAAAAAAGACTATTTAATGAACATTATGTAAAAAATAAGACTTTATAGTGTGTGAACCAAAAGAAATAACCAGAAATAATATTAGAAATAATAATAATCGATAAAACTTATTACACAATGTGTAAATAAAAGGATTTTTAACTGATAGTGTTAATAATTCTGCACAGAGCATAATCTCATGGTATACATGTACTCTATCATTAATCTCAGTTTGTTTAATAATAATTTGCACTGCTGGATTATTCTGCCAATTATCATACAATTATATAGTAATGAATACTTCTCTGGTAAGAAGTAGACTAATTACTGCACACACATACGAATTTATTGAGTACGTCAGTGTGTATAATACGTTATTCACGAATAGTAAATATCCAATAAAGTGAATATAATTTATATTGGTTAATAAAAATAAAATTCAATTTTGAATATTTTTATGGTAGGATATATTAATGAGCCAATTATATGGGATAAAATAGAGAAAGAACTTATAAACAATGATAAATTGGTTAGGAATAAAGATGACATATTTAAAATAATATCAGATATAAATGGAATAGGAAGAATATTTACAGAATTACCAGAACCAATGGTAAATCTAGCATATAATATATTATATATGAAATTGGTTGAAGTGGGAGTATTAACTACTGATTTAAACCTATTGAAATCTACTGGTCTAGATAAAATTAAAAATGCTATTAAAAGCACTAATATAATTATAAATATAATCATGAGAGTAGGAGAAGAAATACAAAATAATTATCAAAGAAAGGAATTTTATAATTTAATGGGAAGTAATTATATAATTATGATGTATGTTTATAAGATTAGAAGTAATTTCTATAATTATTCTATTAATATACTGTGTGAGAAAGCAGGAATACCAAAATTAAATGGTAAGGTATCACAAGAAAAAGCAATAAGTAAACTTTGTAAGTTGACAAAATCAAAAAAGTGTTCTAGAATAGTGCGAGTATTAGATATACTAATGAACCATGGTGATAATCTAATTATAACAAATAAAAATGGAATAGAACAATCAAATGCAAGTAAATTACAGATAAGTAAAGATGATATTAAATCATTACAGTTACTTACAAGAACCTATACACAGGATGGTTTTAGCAGTTATGTGATTTTAAATAATTCATTGTATAGACTGTTTTATATTAAGTCCATTAATTTTAAACATAATCCCGTCTATAATTTGTATAATGAAGTGTTTAATATGTGCATAAATCCGGATACAAATGAGACAGAAACTGATTCATATATAAATATAATTAAAGAACACTTAAACCAATTACAAAGTGCAGAAAACACAGGGAAAATGTTTATGTGTGAAGAAACTGCCTTATTTGATTTTATAAAGAAGCATAATACATTTAATACTGAATATTACAGAGGAGATGAATTTCAAAATTATTTAAAATCTATAATATTTGAACTTAATAACATACTGGCTAATACTATGGAGAACATTCGTGTTGAAAAAATAGAAGAACCCAATAAGATACCTCCTAATGAATTAGTCCCAGAAAGTAGTGATGAACAAAAACCTAATGAACAAATAGGTATAAATTTCTGGAGTACTAAACTATTCAAGATTATTACAGTAATACTTATAATTACTTATATAATTATTCTTAGTATATTCATGATATATCCTACTGAAGCAAAAAGAATTGTAAATAATTTTCTATTACTTAAATTTAAAATAATTTATTTTTAAACTCAATGAAAATATAATTATATAATATAATTATATTTACCGGGGCTGATTCTGGAATGTACTATTCTTAAGCAGCTGTTCAATTTTATTGATTTTATTGCTGATTTCTAAATTAGTACCACAAATCATATTGCTATTTTTTTGTAAGAAATCCAATATATCATTAGGAGAACTTTGAATACTCCACCGAATATCTTTTTTTTTTGCTGTCGTAATATAATCATCATTTATAATACTAAATAAATATAGTAAATATTGTTGAATTTCTGGTGTGTCTTCTTCGGTCATCATAGAAAACATGTCAAAAAACCATGACAAATGTATATTTGTTAATTGTTGCTTATTGAAGTTTGTAAGTGTTTGGTTTACTATATTTATTATCGTACAGAATGTATCAAATTTGGGTTTGGATGTATTGTCTAAATAATCTAATATATATTCAATAATACACTTGTCTTCTATAGTTTTATAATAATGGTAGCTATTCTTATTTAGTTTTTTTATTATTCCAGCAAAACTATGCGTAAGCCCGTCTTCTACAGTAACTGTACATAAAAACAAATCTAGATATAATGATTTAAGTATAATATTTGTTATACAAAGTCCATCCCATGCACTTTCATCAATTTTTTTATAGTAATCTTTAGCTTTTGAGTTGTAAATATATCCTCGTAAGATCCAATCTCTTGTACACAGATTATCAAGTGGGATGCTTCCGATAATATTATTTGTCATTCGTATTAGTGAACTGTCATATTTAATAATAGGATTTGCATAGAGCATCAAGAAGTTTGTAATAATACTCACTTTATAATATTCTATTTCAATTCTTCCGTATAGGAATATATTAAGCGTACTTATATATCCGCCTTTAATAATACTATTTAAAAGTATACTTTCAATAGGCTCCTCTACATATGCATACTCACACTGCAATTTGGCTAGCTCTACATAAATGTAATGTTTAATCATACATTCTGTATACTTATTTGGATTGTTATACATATTCTGCGCTTTAGTAAATTCTCTTATAATAACTGATTTTTCTTCATCAGAGAATAAATCTTCCTCTATAAATAATTTAACGTGGTCTTTGCTTATATCTACTGACATTCCTGTCTGTAGCTTCTTAAAGTTATAAAGTAGACCAAAGCTGCCAAATAAGTCTGACATACTGTGTCTATTATCTTCTATTGTAAAATCACCACAGTCTACTTCAAGGTCTTTATTCGTCGATAGCGCTGTAAATATCGTGATTAGATTTTTTTCTATATTAAAATCTAGACATGAATGATTACTATCATCGCGCCTTTTTTTTATAGACTCAATTTCTTCAAGTACTCTTTTCTGGTTTCCAGTTATATCTGATATAACATATAGCATGTTTAACAAACCGGTTTCCAATTCATTATTCCCTTCCTTTATATAAAAAATCTTGTCATTCTTCAAGTCTGCTACTACTCTGTACCAATCTTGTTGCATTTCATAACTAGTACTCTCTGTTGGCACTGGATATTTTTCAAAGAATTTTTTCAATGGCTTAGTTTCTTCATTGTCTGGCAGATGCTCTGTAGTGTACTTTCTTGTATTCGGGTCATACATTAAACAGCATGCCAAGCATAGTAGACTTACTTCTACATAGTTGGAGTATTTTTTATCTTCATCGTTTAATTCTTTGTCATTTGTTCTATCATATGCCTTTACTCGAGTATATATTGGTAGCTCTAATGTATCAATAAATGGAAATTTTCTGTATTTGTCTTTTATATCTTTAAGATTAAAAATATGGGCTGCATGATTAATCAAGCCTGAAATTGCATTTTCTTCTATAAAGCACTCTTCAAGCAGTTTATTACTCTTTGCTATATCCTCTGGTGTAAAATTTTCATTCTTTATTTGATCATTCAAGAGAGTGTACACTGCTTTTACAAACTTAATATACTTTTCTGGTGTGTCAATAAACTCGTATATATACGATTGAACAAGAAACTGCTTTGTGTTCAAAAATTCTCCGGTTTTGAACTGCTCATATGCAGTTGGTTCATTGGGCGTGCTCTCTATACTATTTGGATTGGCATTATCATCATCTATATATTTCTTTAGAAACTCAATAAGATTTACTAAATAATGATTTGGCCCCTTCAGATTAATATATGTAGTTATTCCATCTGGGCTTTCCAGAAAAAGTATTTTTTCTTCTTGTATGCATGTATTAATAGGAATATTGACATTCTCAGACAAGAGAAAAAGAGCTGCTAGAATGTGCATGCTCTGTGCTTGTACTTCATCTTTTATTAAGAATCGATACATTGCATCGTTTCTTTCTGATACAATAGAAAGCGATCCATCTGGAGAGGGAAACATTCCAATTAGCAGTGTGTGGAACTCAGTCAAATATTCTTTGTTCTCTTCAATATCATCATATACCTGATCATTAATTGGCTGTCTTGTATAATCATAAACTGGAACACTGTCATGTATAACTTTATCTGTTTTTGTTAAGCTATAGTCTGTGTCTATTTCGGATGAATAAAATCTTTTGTTGAACATGTACCCACTCCTGTGCATAATATATCCTCTAAGTGGACTAAGCGGTCCGTCTGGGTGTATTAATAATCTATCTTCTTGAATAACCACAGTCTCTCCTATTTTCTTTATATCCACTAGCTCAATTCTTGCATATACAGCATACATCATTAGTAATAGCTTTATGATCATACTGCTTTTCATACAGGGAATAATTAAAATATTTTTTATTACCTTATTCATTTTTTTTGGTTAAAACAGTTTATTGCTATAAGGTTGGAGGGACCTCAAACGGTCGGTCGTCGAGCGCCACACTCTCTCTTCCTATTCTCTTTAAGCCGTTCCTCGTGCCCCTAGGGCGGCCGTAACAAGTTAATGTCTTTGACTGCTACGTATAAAATGTAAAATAAATTCAATATAAGTGTACAGGTTTAAATTTAAATTTATTTACTTAACTAATACGTGTACAAATAATAATAAATTCGGATTATATCGGGTTATTTTCTGTTATTAAAATAGAGCTGTAAAAGAAATACAAGAAATAAAATTTTGCAAAAGCATGAGACCAACTGGTAATGAGAAGAGCAGTGAGAACGCAGAAATCAAAATAACAAGCCAGGCAGAAAATAAAGAACAGAAAGAGTCTCACAGTCAAAAGCACACTCAGAAATCAATATGTGCTGAAATTACTGATAATTCTGAATTTATAGAAGAAAATATTAGTAAAATCCAAACTAGTCAGGGAAATATAGAAAACATGGACATATCAGGTATAACTGACCTAAGCCTACCTAAAGGATGTATTATATCAGGTCTACCAAGAACCTGTAAAAGATTGTCATTTTTATACAAGGATAAAATATACTATGCTGTGGATAGGTCTATTATAAGCATAAATATATCAGAGAATACTCAGAATAGCAAAGAGACAGTTGAATACGTCACAACTGCAGAGAGTAAAATATCTTCTATGTACATTAACAATGATATTATTTCAATAGGAACAATTTCAGGAGAGATTATTTTAATGAAAGATAACGGAAATATCATTTATAAAAAGTTTATTAATGAGTTTATATACAATATAGTACACACGGATAATAACGTATACGTATCATTATTATACAAAATAGTCAAAATTGACTATACACAAGATATAAAACACGCGGATAATTATGAGATAATTAAGGAAATGAATGACATTTCAATGTTCTTTAGTGTTATTCCCGCAGAGAATAGAGAGATATTGGCATTCTCAAATAGTAATACGTTATTTACTAATTCAATAACTTTGAAGTATTCACAGAACATTGTATTTATGTATACGCATACACAGCCAAATGGGAATATCAATGTAATTATAGGACTAACTAACAGAAAAGTGTATTTTTACAGCTACAGCAATGAGAAGTTGTCTTTAACTCAAATAATACATGTACAGGACGTGCTCTGTGATATAATTGTGTTTTCTTATAACATTTATGTTATAGTTATGAGCAATACCATAAATATTTATTATTGCATGAATACTGCCGAATGCATAGGAATGGTAGGACCATATGATGATGAAATATTAAAGGTATTTTTAGATAAAGACAGAATAAGTCAAGAAATAGCCAATGAAACAGATACGAATGTAATAGTAAATGAAGTAATTAATCAATTATACATAGTGCTAAGCACTGGTGGAGTGTTTAAGTATACAAGTAATAATAATTTATTGAGATTGCCTGTAAGAATTAGTAGTAGCAATAATATACTAGACAATTCAGAGTATTCTGAGGTATACAAAAATATTAATAGAAATATACTTGCAATGCACGAAACATTACAGAAAATACTTCCACTGTGTAATGCACCCAGCAATATTATTTCTGGAAATTTGTCTGGAATATCTCATCTCTCCATAAAGAATAATTATTTAGTAACGGCGAATGGTCCAACTGTAAGAGTGTTTTTTATATCAAGGAATGGAAATATTGAAGAAATATTCAGACCAGTAATTGACGGGTTCCCTGTCAATTCTGTAATTACAGACTGGGCTATTATGGAGAATGGAAAAATAATTAGCGAAGACTTTTCTTTAATCACAAATAGCAACAATATAATTAAAGTATATAAACCAACAGAACTATTCCAAATAAGAAAAAGGCACTGCGAGAGTGCGGAGAAACTATTACTTAAATATAATGAAATTTTAAGAGAATATGATATGAACTCAGAGGGCAGCATACAGAGAAATTCATTAAATGAGCTACTAGTAGAAACAGAGTCATTCCTGGAATACATTAAGAATATTTATAATGAGAATGACAAAAATAAGAATAATTTACCATTCACTGCTATAAAACAAGAACTATCACTGACCACACTCCCACATACTCCAGAGAAGGATGATATACAGACTGTGTTTGAAAATATTAAGACAGATTTAGGACTATCCACTAACCATTTCTTAGAAGTAGATAAAATCTACGGGTTTCCATTTGAAATATCTACATTCATAAAATATTCAAAGGATTTAGTTCTGCTAGGGTGTAAATCATCGCAGCGGGCATTTTCAAATTTATTTGTGTTAAACTCAAATTTAGAAACTGTTCAGAAGGTATTCACACACACTAAAACAATAACAATGATTCTATCACAGGATAATGTTATTGCCACACTAGGGAAGGACAGAAAAATAGCTATTTACAGGGTAAAGCAGGGAAAAGCCAACTTTTCACCAGAAGACACAGAAGAATCCTTTAGAGAGAACGACTTTGGTGTAGAATTCCTCAGTTCAAGAATTGACCATAAGAAAGAAATACTTGCAGCAGAAATGCATGGCACAGAAATTATAACATCATCAAAAGATAAAACAGTAAACACGTACAGCATACAAAATGAAGGTTTGAATCTTATAAAAACAGATAAAGTGACTGTTCCTGTCACAGCAATACACGTTCTAATGATAAATAGCTATAAATATACTATGCTAGGAAATAACAATGGATATATTTTTATAAATGGCAATACAAAGAAATTGCACAATTCAAGAATAACCAATATTAGATCATATACAAGCGAGGATGGTCAGCAATTTATTATAACAGCCTCAGAAGAGGGAATTATCAGAACAACCAAATTATCTGATTTACAGTAATTAATATAAATAATATCACCTGAATAATTGATATCTTATAGAATAATATATTTTTGGCATAAAATCACTCTTTTATAAAATATTATAAGCAAGAACATAATGCATTCATTGGGTTGTTTATAAAATGTTTTGTATCTATGCAACTGAAAATTTCCTTCCCTTTTCTTACACTATACAATGTTTCATTTTTCAAATATATTTATTTTATTTACAAAACATAAAACATGAACTACAACCAGCATAATCAAGATGACTTTGAAGATATTCTAAAGAATTTAGTGCCATATGACGAAGCCGAGCAGCAAGAGAGGAATGAGACAGAGGACGAAGAATTAGAAATATTTGACATGGATGCCTTTGAAAATGACTTATCAGAGGACCTCACACACGATAATTTCTTCATAACAAAGCCAACAAAGGAAGAAAGGGAAAGGGAGAAGAAAGAAAAAGAGAAGAAAGAGAGGGAAAAGGAGCAAAAAGAGCAAAAAGAGCGTGAGGAGAAGGAAGAAGAGGAGAGAAACCAGAAGGAAAGGGAAGATTTTGTGAATATCCAGAATATAAATAAAACACAGAGTGTAAGCGAGGATACGCAGCAGACAGACAGAACAGAGGAGGAATTTAAATTTACACCAGAAGACACTTTTAATGCAGAATATTCGCCAGAAGGCATTAATGCAGAGACTGAGTCACCAGAAGACACTTTTAATGCAGAGACTGAGTCACCAAGTCTACAGAACACACTAGTGAGTAGCAGTACACTTGAACTGACACCAGAGCTGGACAGTCAAGAATTTGATGGAATGCGCGCAGTACCAGATAATTCATACGAAAATGTGACAGAGCAGAGTGCACAAAGTAGCTCAGAGACCAGCACACTTGAGCTCACGCCTGAATTAGCAGAACAAGAGTTTGAATATTCACCTGATGAGAGTCAGAAAGCAGAAGAGTATATGCATAGACCAGAAAAAACAGAATACCCTTTAGAAGAGGAAGTGCCTGAAGAGGAGCACAATGGCAACTATATGCCTGAAACTGTGCCTCACGAAGAAGCAGTTGTGCCAAATACTCAGCCAGAGTACATTCCTAATACGAACAGTCCAATAAAACACATGAAGAACTCGCCATGGTATATTCCTGAACAGGATGTACAGGATGTGCCAGTGCCAAATACTTCTAATGCTGAAGGTTCTGTGTTTAAACCTATTCCTGATGTGTTTAATGCGCCACAGGATAGCAGCTGGACACTTGATGAGTACTTCCAGATGTCGCCTGAGAGCAGCTCTAATAATGAAGATGTATTCTATCAGAACAATGAACAGGAGATCTTCGGAATGGACGAGTCCAATTCAGGGTGTAATGTGTCTTCTACAGACAATTCGTGTGCACAAGATGCATACGTACATAATCCTGAGAGCATTCCTGTAGAAAATAAAGAAGAGGAATCTCCTGCCACTGGAAGCGAAGAGTCGTCTTCTCTTGATGAGTTGTTCAAAGACTGTCCGCCCATTGATCCTAACACATTTAAGTATGCCCCTGATTATCAACAAAGCACAGAACTTGACTACACAAATGCCGAACCAATTCCAGAGGACTATCCTGAAATACCACAGAATGCTTATGTATACGACCAGCCGGTGGAAGAGAGTGCACCTGCTGTGAATAGTTCTGCAAATCCAATTGTTTATTCTCCACAGGAATATACGTATAATAATGCAAACCCTTCTGTAAAGAAACAGGCTTTTATTCCTACATCACCTTTCCAGCACAGCCAGCCAAGCCAAGTACCAGCACATAATGATTTACAACATGCGCATGCACTGCCTGGCGTAGAGGACACACCCGTTTCACTGAACACTGTGGAAGAACATGGCCATGTGTTAGAAATACCCGGGGATAAAGAAGCCTCTGATATGCACTCCCACCCAACTGCGCATATTCAAATGACATTCTGCGGGGATAAATTTATTGTTTTCTCTTCTACACCGAGTGTTACTAATCCTCATAAGTTATTGCCAAATCCTGTTAAGACAGTAGAACTATCCGGTGAGATAAAAACCGACAATGTCAAACAGAAGTCTACTCAGGAATTGGTTAATTCGCTTATTCAGACATATCCTATGAATTATTCTTCCTCCGACCACCCACTGAACTACCTTATATCAAAAAGTATTGATACTCTTAGTAAAAGAAGCACTAAAAGAATTCCCTCCATTCCAATAAAGGAATATATCCCAGAAGTATCTCAGGATATAAATAGTGCAATGCTTCAGAACAATTGGGCAGAAGCATTCTTTTTATCCTCACAGAATGCAGAATACTTACTGTGTGTACAGGACAAGTATGCCAAGCATACAACAGAAACAGTAACCGATTACATTTCAGTCTTATTGTCTACACAGTGTAATATTCCATCAAGACTCTTCAGCCAGCCAGATGTTCTGGATAACTACTTGACCATTCTTTCAATGGGCATAAAGTATAAGAATGATAAAGCACTGGAAGAATTAATTAGTGCCCTCTTTAAGAACAACAGAATGGATGCGGGTGTTATATCAGTAATTATATCCGGACTGATTGACGGGTTTACAGATAAAATATTTGATATAAATACGCTTCTAATCATTGGAAAGTTAAAGGAGAAAGAAGAGGCAGTAAGAGTTCGTGTAAAAGAACTTCTTAGAAGAGTCAAGGTGATTAATAAAAAGAGGACCCAGGAGATATACAAAGAGAACAAAGATATTTTCAATCGCACAGATAAAAAAGAGATAGAAGAGTTCCTTTGTATAGAAAGCAGCTCATGGGGACTCCAGGGAATAATCAATGCAGTGGACAAGGGAATTACAAGAATGGTTAGTACGCCAAACACAGCACAGCCCACTACAGTAAGCACACCACAGACTAATTCATTTGAAGTGCATAAGCCACAGCCTGTGCAGAGTGCGCCATTCCCAGCACAGCCTACTATTGGTCTTGGGCAGGGTGTGACTTCTCCTGTTGGAAAGAGTACTTTTGTTAAAAAGAGGATTGCTCATATGAACAGGCCAACTTTCCCATTGAATAAGCCAGCACCAGAAGCACAGCGTGTTACGAGTGAAAGCCAGATGCCACCAGCACAGAATGCCTCTACAAGCCATTCCAGCACACTGCCACTTGGAAGTACGGCAATTCCCATGCCTTCTATGCCCTCAAGCTCTGAAACAGCACAGAAGACAATGCCAATTCCAGGCATACCAATGCCTTCTATACCTCTAAGTGCATCGCAGCAACCTAATAATCCTGCCATGCCAGTAATTCCTCAAGGCATACCTAAGCCAGCGCCTTCGATGCCATTTTCACCAAAGGCTAGTGGCATTCCAATGCCTTCTATACCCTCCACGGCACAGCCTAGTAGTATTCCTACAAGGCCAGCACCTTCCATGCCCATGCCAGTAATTCCCCAAGGCATGTCTAGGCCATCACCTTCGATGCCCCTTTCTTCATCAGCACAGCCTAGCAGCACTTCTGGAAAACAAGCATCACCTTCTATGCCCATGTCAGTAATTCCTCAAGGTATGTCTAGGCCAGCACCTTCGATGCCAATGCCTTCTATATCAGCTGCTACACAGGCCAGTGCTACTACAAAACCAGCACCTTCTATGCCCATGCCATCTGCTGCACAGCCTAGTAGTATTCCTACAAATTCAGCACCTTCTATGCCAGCGGCAGCAGAACCATCTCCAATCATGCCATACAAACCAGCGCCAAAGGTTGAAGAAACGCCTGAAGAGGACATTGACTATAAGAAGTTGTACTCTGATAAGTCAAGGTATCAAATAATTGATTCTACTCCAGAGAAAAGCTCTTGGCTAGGATATATTCCCGGAGTAAATGCACTGTCTGGAATAGTCAAAAAAATAGCAGGACAGAATAATATTCCAGTAATTGAACTGTCACAAGACACAACCTTTGTGCTCGACAAGAAATTAAACAAGTGGATAACTGTTGATGCAAAGACGCTTAAACCCATTAAAATATGCGCCTCCAAGGCATCTGATGAGGCAGCATCTAACAGTGTTTCTGCTCCTATACCGATGCCTGTGCTTACAGGAAAAATCCCAAAGCGCGGTCCAGATGGAAAGGTTGATTTTGGTCCAGTGGGAACTAGCTTAGAAGCAAGGTATGGTAAGCCAATGATACAGTCATCGATTGATACAACAATCCAAGACACAGCCCCAGCCTTCCCTACTTCACAGAATATGTACTCCAGAAAGAACGCGAAAGTCTTTGTTCCTAAACTTCCCATAGAAGATACAAATACACAATAAATACTAATCTAAATTAACCAAATCTGACCTTCATACCACAATATCCTAATACCCGAATATATAAAACCCCATACTACCACACAAATTCTTTTCTTTCACATCCATATACCAGAGTTTACTACATTTATAGTAACTCAAACTAACCCAAAATACCCAGAACTAACTTAAATACCCACATTCACACATTCACTTATTATAAACCACCAAAACTTCTCGGTTTAACTGAATATTCATTATTTGTACATATTTATACATATTTGAAGCCAAATGCCTTCACATAAATAATTATTTATATTTCATGTGTACACATTTTATAATTAAATACAAAATTGTATTATAATAGAATAGTAAATGTATAATAAATATAACACAGAAGATACTAATATTTTGTATATAAAGACTAATGTAACTATAAATTCATACACACATAATATAAATTATCATACACGAGCAGTTAATAATATTAATTTATACTATAATAAGATCGTATAAGAATAAATTATTAAATATACGAAATGAGTTTATAATACATACTAACCATTCAGTACTCTTATTTCTTATACTAATAAACTGCTTTCAATTAAAAATATCAAAAGCGTACTTAATTAATATTGTAGTTTATTAATAAACTAGTTTAATAAAAGTAATTCCATAATGGACAATAAAAATACTTAAATATGGACATATTTTATAATTCTACTATAAAATTAACAAGTATTTGATTCAGTAGAGAATATATACTTCATGCACTAACAAGTACATAATCAAATACAGAATAATTTAATAAAATCAGAGCATGGTGTAATATCAGTATTAAATATAGATTGAATATATCTGTATTTATCTCCTATAAGAATATTCTCACTTTGTATAAGACCTTTAATAACCAGAAATAGATAATAGTTCACACTAGCTATGCATGATTTATTAAAAATAAAATATTATTTATGCCTACATAATCTAGATTATTAAGATCATCATAAAGTAATAGTTTAAGTTAGTTACACCCATGTACATTATTAAGACTCATTCAAAATTTTTATTATTCTCATCTTATACAGCTTCAATTTCTAATTACACAGCTTTATAAGACTTCGCAGGAGTGGGCATGAGGCTCTCACACTAGGCATGGTTCATCATACGATAGAAACCAACAATTTAATTGGATATTTATGACCAGTATTTAAAGTAGACTATTTTGTATTAGTATAATTATGATTTTTATCAAATATATAAGATAATTTATCTACATGAGTATCTGCATATACTTTCATTATATATTCTATATTGGTTTTTGGTGTTTTATACTTTTCTTGTATATTCTGGAATATTATTTTAGCTTTACTATCGGTATTATTTAACTTACTATGAGAGACCATATATTTAATCTTAACATCATATAATGATCTAGTAATAATCTCTATGTTAATAGTGGGTGAGTCACTGGCATTCGTTTTTTTATAAATAATATTAAAATTAGTGCTTATTCTTATATTCTTGGAGTCTTTTTCTTTTTTTTCATAAATATTTTTATATCCTATTTTTATATTCTTCTCTATTGAAAGTAATTTAAACCCATTTTGTATAGGAGTTTTTATATCCTTATCAGAATTATTATTAGTTTTATTAAGCATATCTTCTTTTTTAAGCTTAATTGCATGATCCAGTGGGTATGTACTTCCTGCTAATGTTCTTATAGCGTATAATATACTAAATATCTGAAAATCAAGAATGCGGTCATCGTTTACTTGATAAGAACCACTTTGATTAGATATGTTTTCTAGAATATTGTTCCAGTCATTATGCATATTATGATCCATGGGCTGTAATGGATTATTATACTTACTAAAGAACTTCCTTAAATCTTTTGATGGACTAGGCAGATGCCTTATATCGTATGACATAGTCTTAGCATTAAATGTAAGCAGAAGGAATATATCTAGAAGAGTAGATTTTATCTGGTTAGTATATGTTATTTTTATACTTTTAGGATCTTCATTCAATTCTTTATTATTTGGAAATCCAATAGCTTTCTTTATATATGGTATTGGTATAATTTCATTATTTAATTCATGCTCTGCTGACTTCAAATATTCAATATATTCTCTATTTTTAATACTCTCATTCAAATTTGCATCAATAAATAAACCATCAAAGACTGTTTTTATATGCTTCTCTGTCTCTGTGAGTGGAGTATCATTTTTATTCGGCAGTTGTTCAATCAGTAAATTATATACACACTTTACAAATTCCTGGTACATATCTATACTGTCTATATACTCAAATAAGTACGTCTGAATAAGAAATCTTGGATTGTTTAATAAGTTACTACTTAAGGATTCTTCTGGTACTTCTGAAGACTTATTTAGTTTAATAAGTTTTTTAAAGAAGTTAATTATATATTCAGTTCTCTTCTGGTATATTAACACAGTACTTATTCTATCTACTTTATTCCATACTAGCATACTCAAATTAACATGAAATTCATTCTCTTTTCCTTTTTTCTTTAGAATAATCCATGAATTATTCTTAACACCCTTTAAATCCTTCACTACTTCAATGGGAATATTAACCCTTTCTGCAAGGAGGAATAAAGAAGCAAGGACATACATAATACCTTTAGTATTCTTATACTCCGACAGAAAACAACTCAATGAATCAAATGAGTCCGATTCAATAGATAAATATCCATGTTCTGATGGATACATATTCCTTATTAATTGTATATATATACTGGATGTATACTTATTATGAATACCTTCATGTACACTGTGTGTATCTACTTCTCTTATAATTTTATTATTTTTTATATTATAAAAGTCCTCAGGCAGCTTCTTTTTTAAATATTCACTCTTCCCGATTGTGTATTGATAGAATGGAGAAAGACTTCCCAGTGAGTTTATTACTAAATTATTATCTAATTTCAGTCTCTGTATATATTCTGCTTGTTTTAGTGTTATCTGTGTGTATATACTGTGTATATATAATAGTAGTATTATAGTTATATTTAGTCTATTTCTTACTGTAGTATATACATTATGTACATATACTCCCTTATACTTATTCATTAGTTTGCTCCTTATTTAATTCTTAATACGTATTTATATTTCATGTTACCAAGGGGCTATATTAATAATTAGTTAATCAAATTCTATCTTGGTTTAATTTATCAGCTGTTGTATGCTAAGAATAGCATTAGTTTAGCATGGCATGAGTTATTGTAATATTTACATAAACACGACAATACAGATTAGATCAGAAATTATTGTTGACACAACAAGTCAACATAAATTAAATTGATTATACGGTCTACAAATGCGTATACAGATTCAATAAAAATCAAAGTATCCCAATGACTTTTTCTAAGAAAACAACTTCAGCAGCATATAATATATTACACATAGCACACTATATACTGCATTTACTATTATTTATTACACATAGTACATATTATACTGCATATACTATTATTTATTACACATAGTCTATATAATACTGCATATACTATTATTTATTACACATAGTACAGCATTATTCTATTATTTATTACACATAGTATATTATTTATTACACATAGTCTATATAATACTGCATATACTATTATTTATTACGCTTAGTACATTATATAATACTGCACTTGCTATTATTTATTACACACTGTATCTTATATACTGCATATTCTATTATATATTACGCTTAGTGCATTATTTATTACACATAGTCTATATAATACTTTTTTTTACATACTGTGTAAAATATGGACATAAATCAATTAGAAAGTATTCTTAATAAAGAAAAAGAGAAAGAACTTATTACACAATGTCCAGTTAATAATGTATTCTACGGAACACTTTTAGATCAATCATGCATAAATATTGATAAAGTACAAAATAAATACAGAAAGTACTTACAACCCATTGTACAGGAAGTCATGCACCCAAGCACAGCACAAATACAACCAAAACAACCAGAACCCACAGCAATAAACAACCACAAACAGGAAATCCTGCAGGCATTAAAGGAGTCTAACATCATAATCATCACAGGAGGCACCGGATCCGGCAAATCCACACAAGTTCCAAAAATACTCCAAGAAATCTCCCAAAACGGCAATTTAATCGGCTGCACACAGCCCAGAAGGACCCCGGCCGTGACAATCGCAGAGAGAATGCAGCAAGAACTCTCAAAACAAGAAATTGGATACGCTATAAGATTTAATACACAATGTGGCAAAAGTATTAAATACATGACCGAGGGAATTCTTCTCAGAGAAATTCTAAATAATCCAAGACTTATAAGGTATTCATCCATAATTCTTGATGAAGTCCATGAAAGGACACTCGAATCAACCCTCCTCCTGAAATATTTGCTCACCCTCGCCAGGGACCGGATAGATTTAAAACTGGTCATTATGACAGCCACACTGGACAAATCCTTAATACAAGAGATAGGAATATGCCCAATAATTAATGTACATTGTGTAAAATATCCTGTTAAAATTCACTTCCTGAAAAAGCCATCCGACGATTACATACGCGACATTGTGCAGAAAGTAATGCACCTCGCAAAAAAACAGAAAAATATTTTGGTCTTCCTGACAGGCAAAAATGACTTAAACATAGTACACAATGTGTTAAAAGTACTGCACATAAACTTAAAATTATTTACACTCCACGCACAGATTCCATTACTTAATCAACTATATGTAATAAATTATGGTAACCCTAAATGTATCCTGACCACTAATATTGCAGACACCTCCATAACCATCCCAGATATAAAATACGTTATAGACTGCGGTATGTATAAAATTAAGTGCACCACAGATATAAACACGATTAAAGTGGTGCCCACCCAGAAGGCACAGGCAATTCAAAGGGCAGGCAGGACGGGCAGGACGTGCACTGGGCATGTGTACAGGATGTATACACGCACTGCTTATAAGACACTGCATGACAGCATAAGCCGGGTGGCCTATGAGGACGTGGAGTACTTCAGCCTGATGTGTATTAGACTAAATATAACGGTAGATCATGAAAAAGTGAGGGGTATGATGAAGGTGTTGGAGAAGTATAAAGTGGTGGAGGAGTATAAAAAAAAAGACGGGGTGGGTGTGGGGGAGTACGGGTTATTACAGGACTGTGAAATAAAAAAAACAGGGTTAGTAATGGGTATAGAATAACTGAGTTAGGTATAAGGATAAGTGAACTGCCATTATCAGTGAGGCATTCAATATTTATAATAGAATGTGTAAGAAGAAATTGTGGATATTATGGTGTAATAATTGTATCAATGATGGAATTAATTAATACGCATAGTGTAAGAATAAGTGAAGTACTTGCAGAATATACTGATGCATGTGTAAGAAGTAGTGATCATATACTACTAATATTATTATATGAGAAATTAAGAGGAGATAGTACACAGTGTGTAAATATTAATGGTGTAGATAGAGTAATTAATCAACTATGTGTAATAAGTAATATTACTGTGTGTGATATACGGTTAAGTATGGCTGTGTATGAGGATGTGATTAAGTCGTTAATTTATTCGCATAAGTATAATATTTGCACTAGGATGAAGGATAAGTACAGGGATATACGGAGTGGGGTTGAAGCGTATGGATCGTACTATTCAGTCAGTCATAAATATTCAGAGGTGTATGGACAGTATGTATACGATAGTATTATAAGTGTAAAGCAGCCTATAATTAATATTATAACGAGAATACCTGAGAATATGTATGATGAGATAATTAATTAAAATTACCAAATATGGAAATACAATACTGTATATGGTAAAATATAATTAAAAACATAAAATATATACTAGATATGGAAATATGTCACATAAAAATAAAAATAAAAATATTTTATAACGGATAATTAAAATATACTGTATATGGTAATAATTAATTAAACTGTATGTGATTTATTATATGAGTAAGTCATGCTTTGTCTTCTGCTTTAAGAAGAGTGGGCTTAGTTCTAAATCTGTAATGAGTGGGTCTGCTGCAGATGTGTTACTTACACTATGGAATAAGTCACCAGTACCACTGGATGCCTTATTACAGTGGGCCTGTTCACACTCCTGTAGATACGCAGATACACCTGTGGATGTGCCAGATATTAATGGGACTGAGTCCTTCTGTGCTTCAGCTGACCAGTCAACTTCATAAACTATGCTTGGATGAGTATACTCTAAGTCACCACCATCAACGGGTACAGAAATATAAGAAGAGGTACACGACTGTACCTGGTCAGATGGCTCAGTGGCTACTTGTACCTGGTCAGGTGTACCAGTGGCTACTTGTACCTGGTCAGGTGTACCAGTGGCTACCTGTACCTGGTCATTTGTATCAGCTTGGTCGGGTATGCCTGCTGCTACCTCTACTTGTACCTGGTCAGGTGTCTTTACGTCTATCTGTACCACTGTATCTACCTGTCCACTTGTATTTATACCTGCTTGTACCTGGTCATTTGTATCTGCTTGTACCTGGTCATTTGTA